ATGACCCCCTAGCATGGAGCAGCATCAATGAATTTTAAGCGCTCTAACCCTTTGATGGATTGTGTCCTCTCTCTTCAACAACGGTGCTAACGTCACAGTGAAAAAGGATGCTTTTCGAAGCTGCACATCACTTTTGTTACATTAGTTTAAACGAGGTTACGTCATTTCTTCACGTAAGCGGAAGCCTCTGGGTGAAATTCAACGTCGTGCCCTTCTGAGTGTTGCATCTGCCCAAGCGTTTCAACTTGCCAGATGGAACAATCCTTTCTCTTCTCCTGCTGTGTGCTGTTCTGGGGTTCTCCTGACACCACCATCCCAAGCCAGTGTCCAGGGTGGGGGTATGTGGGGGATGAGGGGGAAGAAGCCCTGTTGCACAAGCAGAAGTCCTTACACTTGACTTCCACTGAAGGGGCTCGTTTGCTGAATCCTCCCAACCAAGTTTAACTGAAAGAAGCCTCTTTCATGTGCAACGAGTATGGACTCAAACTAGCACTTCCATTATTATTATGATTTTTAAAATACTGTCATTAATTTTCAATTTTTATATCACACATACAACATAACTCAGCCATTCCATTATTTAAACACAGATGCAGCATATCTTTTAGTACAAAACTGCAATAAAGGAGACATGAAAATGAGAAGTTTTATAGAATGCTGAGATGATAGGAAGCTTCTAAACTGGGGTATCTTGGGGCCCGTTGCTAGGCTATAGGTATGGAAGAGATGAAAATAGCAAATAAATTTGTATTTAATTTTTTTGTACTGATTGTAAAAGATCTTATTAAATACCTTTTTGAAATGTTTCAGCATATTTATTTCTTGTCATTCCACGAAAAGCAAGAACAATGGCATTTGTTGGGAATTATAATGATTTTGGGAGGGAAAGTGTGGCGGGTCATGATGAGTTATGTGTTGCACCCATTCTGTGGTTTGTAAAAAGGACCCTAGGGTTGCACTTACCTGTACTTAGCCACTTACCTGGAAGTAAGCCACACGGAACTAAGTGGGAATAACTTCTCAGTAGGCATGTATAGGATTCAGATTGAATTGTGGAGCGATTTGAAAGTGCTGTTGTGTGTATGCTTTCTGCATCCCATCAGTCATATTTTTTGCATCATGTGTGCCTGTCTAAGCAATATTGATGCACAACTGGATGTACTTAATTTTCAAAAGAGGACAACAAATCCATGTGTGGCATTTCAGTATCTTTATTATAACAAAAATAGGTCTCTGTATTCACATTGATAGTTTCATTTTAAACAAATAGTAACAACAGACCACAAAATTTGGGTCAACAGACAACAAAGTTGAAAAGCCATGAATATTTTCATTTATCAAGATACGAATTTACACACATACGCACACATACATACATACATACTTAAAGTATAAAACAATGCCAACATTTTAAATGGTAAGAAAGCTAAGGTGGCTTTGGGGGACAGAAAAGACAAGCATTTAAGGTCTACAGTGACGTAACACTAGCTGATTTTCACTACAAAATACATTTCTTGCGACAGTGACATCTGCTGCTTGATATTAAGAATTCTAACAATAGTATACCAGAATCAAATACTGAAGAGTTCAAGAGTGCAAATCTGAGCCATCATTTTTTCCATTCTCATATTCCAGTACTCCCTTAAATTATTAAACCAACTGAGAGAAATGAAACTGCTTTCAAGAATGGAACCAATGACCTCGATATAGAACCTGGAAAAGCCAAAGTACTTAAAGGACTGGGATTAGTTAACCCAAAACATGGTGTTTGGGATGTGGTGCTGTTAGACTGCACACTAATGCTACATTTTAATCACTTAAAGTATGTGTTGAAATACTATTCTAGAAGGGTGAGGCCGGGGGTGGGGATAAAGGAAGCCTTCTCAAGTGTTGTTGTAGGAATGAAAATAATGCCAGGGTCACAAGTGAACATCACATTCAAGCACTGTTGTACAATCCACAGGGCTGGCATTTGTACCTGGCAAGCTTGGGCAGCAGCCAGGATCCCGGGACCCTCTCAGGGTCCACCACTGATGCCTGCCTCTGAGGGGGGCCCTTTTCCTCTCAGCTCAGCTCTCTGAACCTGGCTGCCTAGCTGCCATATAAATATCCCACCATTCCCCCTGCATATCATTGCTCCAGAACATTGTGGGAAATTAAAATGGCAGCTATTCTCAGCCACTCAGTACTGCCTAGAATGCCACTCTGACTGGCTGCTGTCATGGACTGGTCAGCTTGCCAAGGCCCACCAATAGGGGAGGGCATTTCTCAAACCTGGAGAAATCACACAACAGTTATGAGACTAAAACAGAGGGGTGTGGCAGAGGAAACTGTGACCTTACACCACAAATAAGTATATTTTTTAAGAGACAAATCAAAGTAGTCATCTATCAACTTGCAGTTTTACCAAGGTAATAAATGAATGTCAACTTTTAAATGAATAAATGGGCTCATTTATACCTTTTCAAAATGGCTATACAGTACAATTGGTCATTTGTTATTTAAAAAATTCACTTTTTACAGGTGGGAATAACTGTGTTAGGTACAAGTCAGCAAGGATTCAGAGATATATGTATTTAGATCATATTCTGTACCTTTTTTTTCTACCAGCTGCCAGGAGTCATACAGAAATCACATAATGGTATGAATTATTATTTTTTTCCAGAGAAAAGTAATCAGTATGCCAAGGCATATAAGTACGTTGCCACATAGGCCAGTTCTTATGCACAAAATCAGAATCGTAAGCCATGCATGTATATAAACAATGGTAATGAGAGGTGGGGGAGCATCTTAAACAAACACGGCAATTGCAAAATTATTATTAGTTTTATAGAAGAATATCAAGCAGAGACCTTAAATGCTTTCAGAAAAGTGCTCTAATTAATGAGAAAACCAGGTGGGAGGAGGGTTTAAAACTGAAACCAAATACACCCATAAACTTAGGATCATCTTCCTTGGGAAGAATCATTGTGATCTTTGGTATAGATAATTTGGGAGAGCACACTTGCATTTGAGAGCAAAAGGGCATTGAGTGGATCCAGTTGAAGATTTAGCAAGTGTGCGCGCGCACACACACACACAGATTACATAGGCACTTATTACCCACTTAGCTTTCCTGAATATGGCCCTGTTCCCAAATTTCTATTATCAGACCATATTGAACTGATTTGCTCCTAGAAAAAGGTACAGGGCTAATCAGCTCTAGATTTCCCACCAGTACAGTGCTTACACCTCTGACAACAGCCCAATATGCCAAAAGGTAAGGAGATGAAGCACTGGCTATCACTTTGTCTCCACGTAAAGAAAAGGATTCACTCATTATTAGTAATAATACTTTGTGTTGCAATGCTTTTATCTTGCAATGTTTGCGTGAACCCTAGACATTTAATGGATGAACAATGCAAAGAAGAGAGAAAATGGAGGCATATGCAATAACACCTGCAAGCATTGCGAACTGGGTTTGTCTTTGGCAAGGCTCCTGGATCTGGAAAACAGATCAGAAATTGACAGGTGAAGCTTTCCCCCTCCCCAGTGCTGAGTTGCAGCTGCCTGATGGCCAGCCCTACCATACTAATCAACAGGTGGGACTCGAATCAGGCAGCTGAATACATGCAGCACTTATGAAGGGAAGACCACAATTTGTTGGGTTTCTTCCTTCCTGCTTTGAAGCTGTTAAGCGAATAAACAGCCCCATCAAGGGGGGAAACCTACAAGTCGGGTTTTCTTCATTCACACACATCTCTGTGAAATTTTCAGGTAGACTTTGGCTAAAACTATGAAGCTGAAATCACCAACAATGTGCATTGTTTAAAAGAACATCTCAGCTATTAAGAGTTCTTACCCTTTTAGGGAGAGACTTCAGCTTTATGTTTAAAAAATGAACAGTGCAAGTAATAGAAAGCAGAAAGGGTGTCTCACAGTTGCTCAACCAATCTAAACATTAACAACACATAAGGGATGCATAAGCCCTCAACATTTCTTAGCCTTCAGATTGCATGCACTACCAACATAAATTATTGTTTACGGCTTCATGTAGGATTCTAAACCACTGACTGTTTGGAACAAAAATCTTCAATTCTGGAATTGTTCAGAAGAAGATTCACCAGTGGCCACCAATTCAGCCACTTCAAAATTTCACAGACATTTTAATTAATTCATGTAGAAACACACAAGTTTCCAATTACAAGATGTTGAGGTTTTAGAGCAGAGCAACTGCTTTAGCTTCAGCAATAATGCAATTATTTTAAAAACTCAACTACTCTCAAACCACTTTTTAACAGTACCAGTGAGAAGACTCAGACCATCAAAATCAAACTTTCCATGTTACTTATGTATTAGGAACAGAGTTGTGAGTGGGCCATTATATTTACTGTCCCTATCACACCTGTGTCGCCTTAACCCATAATTCTCCTTGGAAAGGCCAACGTTTGTATCCATCCAAGCTGGATTAAGTAGCATAAATGACTTCTAGCGTTTCTGCCATCCTGGAGCTGGATGAAGATTCATTCATGGACCTCTCTTTTAACACCTCTCTTTTTCACTCACAAATTTGACAGAGGGCTTTGTATATGCCCCACTTCCAAAACCTAGACCTCTGAAAGTCTACGATGGTGCTAAGTGATCACATGAGGACAAAGCAAATTGGGGGTGGGCGTGGAAAGAAGAACATGAAGAAAAAGAAACCAGCAACTGAAAACTCCATGTTGTATCATTTTTATAGATCTCCAACACTATTCGTGAAAGGCTGCGTTTCTTCCATTATTCAATAAATCCACACATGTCAATTAACTCTGGTGGTTGCTTGCTGGTCAAGTACCAACAAGGCAGAGGCATCCTTCAGCGTTTTCAACACTTGGGGGTTATGCACAACGTGTCTTCTTCAATCCTCTTCTTAAATAACTTGGCAGATATCTTATTAAAAAATAAGAATCCAAATAAAAAATAAGTCCACGTCCCACTCCAGATCAGTCTGGTGGTGAATAGTGATTATTCTTCCATATTTATTTTTCTGTGAGATTGACCACAATGCTGCGGTCCACAAGTTCCTTCAGAAACCTTTGTTCAGCAGAAATATCATGGTATTCATTCTGTGCAAAACAAAAATAACACAGAATTTTGTAATCTTTTTAAAAAAGTGAAAAGGGGGTATCTGTATCTTAATCCCGGGGCCCTATCAGGGGAACATTATGCACCCTAAATCTCACTGAAATAAATGGGATTCTAACCAAGGGTCCTTGATTTTTAACTGGACTCGGTAGCCAAGTCAAAAATGATGGTGCCACTTCCCTGAACTTGCTTGCTAGTCTTGCCACTGCACAGCTAATGTGCTTCAGGTGCTTCTGAGCAAGGAAATGGGAAACCTGAACAACTGCTCAGCCAAGTAAGCTCCTTACCTCCCTTTCATGCCCACCTCTGGGAGGAAGGCTGGGGCTTGTTATGCTTGCAAGGGGGTCAGCAAAAATGGTGGAAGATTGTCCCTAAGTGACAATTTAAGAAAGCCCCTTTATTAAATTGCAAATTTAACAGAGAAAGCTTTCTCAGGTAAAGTGCTACAGACCACCATCCAGTTCCCTTAGGTTAGTTGACAGCCTTTTCAAATGAGGGTCCCTGCCAGAAAAGCATACAGCTGGTGGTTTGTCTGTAAGCAGGACAAGGTATGAGCCTAGGCTTGGACGACATGCTAAGCCAAACCTTGGCTTAGTCCGCAGCAGCAGGACTAGAGCAGGAGCAAAGGGATCCCAATCTCCTCTCCAGGAAGCCACAGATCCATGCTAAGCCATGTTTCACTTTGCATTATGCACCAACTGAGCCCAAACATGGATTAGAAATACAGGGTTAAAGCCAATGGTGGCTTTACGCTAGTGGAAAGCATTTCCACTCACACAAGATGGAGCAATCCATTGCAGCCCCTTGAAACCCAAACATCCTACAACTGGGTTGGGGTGTTGAAACAATATGTACAGAGGACTGAAGGAAATGGAAGGCGTTCCATATTGCAAAATTAATGAATGTTAGAATGATGTTGGAATGAAGCTAGGTGGTTTAAGCAGTAATGCCATAAAGGTGTATGTAAAAAAGGATTGATAACAGATGAAAATTTAAAGTTATAGTATATTAAGTTAAAGGATTATGAGAAAACAAAGAGGGAAAGAAATTGCTGACTTAACTAATTGAACTGGAATACAAAAAAGGGAGGTATGAGGAGGTCAGGGAAACAAGGATATGAATGTAAGCTATGGAAAGATTGATCTATTTTTCTTTTTTGTTCTTTTTAAGTGTCTTTTATTCTTTTATTCTGTATTTTGTATTTTTCTTGTATTTTTACTTCTTGTTTTTGTGTAATTCTTTTTTCTGAAATTCCAATAAATATCATTAAAAAAAAAGTAAATGGAAGGCGTCCTGTGAAAATCAGGCACCCTCTCTTTCTGCTAGCACCAACCCACTATTTGATAGAATCCAGTCAAAATTAAAATAAAATGGAATAAACAAAATATGCATGCTAAGAAGGAAGTAGTACCTTACCTGGATCATCAGAGACATGGTGTCATGACCATAGTAGTGCAAAGAACTGTTTCGGTCCTCAAAGTTGTACCTGAAGCCTGCCAGGTGAACTTCACTGCATATATGAAATGCAAAAGCAATGGCAATTAACCCCGTGGTGGGATGCTTGGGCTTCTAAAAAAGCAAAACAAAGCACAAAAATACAAGCTGCATAAAACCAAAAGCATTTTATCTACAAACACACTCATCACACGAACACAATGTATTAGTGTTTGGCAGTGCTATTTTTCTAGAAAAAGAGGTGCCAGAACTCACCATGAACACCAACTTTTTAATGGCTATGGTGTCCATCTGAGAGGTGCCAGAACTGAGTTCTGGTCTGGCGAGTTCTGGCTAAAAAACAGCCCTGGTGTTTGGTTACTTATTAAGGAGAAAGAAATGTTTTGCCTAAATTAAAAACTTCAGAGAACTAAAAGCCAGACTCAAAATACTTTGCAGCCTATACTTTGCAAACCAGGGACTCAGCTACACTGGCAAAGAAAAAACATCAGATGGCGCTGTGGAGTTCTGTGTTTGCTAACCTGATTTCTCATACAAAGTTTGCAACACATTTAACTGAAACACTGCTTTGATATGTCTAGATCCAGCCCAGGATTATACAATTATTAGGAGCATCTAATATTAGGAACCTCTCGAATTTCACAAAACAGCAAGCAAGCTTTTAGGTTCCCCAGAAATCACCTTCCGGCTGGATATTAAACAAAAGAACAAAAGGGTCTGCTTGGCCATCTAGTATAAAGGAGGAGTCCTGGAGAACTCAGATGCTTGCTCACTACTTTATGACATCTGAATTGATCCTAATTAAGGTATTACCCTATTGTGGGTTTATGTGTCTTCTTTCTATAGCACAGGCTTCCTGTGGCATTGGCTGTGTTACAGAGTTCGTCACAGGAAACTCCAAAGCCAAATGATATTTCAAGGTGCTTGTGCATCATCATCATCTGGTTTGATATTAGCCCTAATCAGTCATTCTAAAAAATCTTGAAATACAGCACAGAAGGAAGGAAAACAAACATGCTGACTTCTATTTGTACAGGCTCACCATGTGACTTAGGGTTTATACAGCCTCCAACTCATGTAGAATGGCAGGGACAGTAATAGTTCTCCTGAAATGAGCCGTGTGAAATAATACTTACCACGTGTCTGGAGAACCTTGTAGGCAAGTGGAGCAGTTCATAGGCTGTTTTCCTGGTAATGGCGGGATCAAGGATTCTGATCTGGTGGGATTTATATATCATTTGTGTTGCTGGTTTTTTCCAGAAGGCATTTGTTCTCTGTGGAACAAAGAGCTTGCATTTAGCATTTTTAAACTGTACCTCTGTTACATCTTGGCAAGTCACATTACTGGAAGGGAAATTATCTCGACGAGGTCACACATCACTGAGAGGGGAGAGGTAAGGGAAAGAAACCACACACTGCCTCACCCTGAAAGAAGCCGCCCCAGTTGTAAATACTCAGTCACCTTGAGTTCCTGAATGCATTCTGATAATTAATGTGTCATGGGGCAACATTTATGGAAAAAGGAAATGACTGAATAACGAATTTCCTAAATGTGAAAACAATAAGATGATAATTCTTTTTCATGGCTAGATAACAAGAAAACTGTATAACAGAACTGGCAAGAAATTTAAAACATTGTGCTGGGAATTTGTGGGAGAACCGCAGAGCTTTTCAGAATAGATGGTGTCAAGGTCAAGAGGAGTCACTGAAAGACAGCCTTTCCTTTCCTATTACAACATAATTCACATATTTTTTGCACCTTCTTAAAAGCTATATATCTGGCTAAACTATATATAAGCGATTACAACAACCTTTCAGATCCTAAGAAAAAATGCAACACAATTCGTTTATTTTTTCCACTTCGAGGAATGAACTGATCAGAGCTTCAGTGAATATACTGATTAGCAGCTTGATGAAAAGCTAATACCTGTAGCTTCATCTGCCTGCTGACTTTGATGCAGAGTAGATTCTATTTATTAGTCAGATCTACGGTTTCTGGTAATGTCCCTTTGCCCAGAGACTGGAGGGGTTGGGAAAAGGGGTTTCCATTTTCAAAGAAGCGCTACATTTTGACACACAGTCAGGCCTCATGTTTTGATTACAGACAGCGGCGTAGCGTGGGTTGTCAGCACCCGGGGCAAGGCAAGTAATTTGTGCCCCCTAACCCGGGGCAAGGCAAGTAATTTGCGCCCCCTAACCCCTAACCTGCCGCCGCTGCCAGCTTCTTCTTGCTGCTGCCTGGGCTGGTCTGGTGTGGTTCTCTCCCGCGCTCAGCGCTGCGCTGGGCGGCCGCTGCACTGTCCCTCCCCCAGATAGTCCCTCGCTCTCTCTCCGCACCGCACGCCTGGCACCCACCCCCTCCACAGTGGGCGGCTCCCCAGCGGCTTGGATCGGATTTGCACAGCCAGCACTGCAGTGAGAGAGAGTGAGTGAGCGAGGTAGGGGCAGAGAGCTGCGAGTGCGAGCGCGCCCCCCCAGATGTTGCACCCGGCCCCCCCTGCACCCCCCACGCTACGCCACTGATTACAGATGAGGATTTTGATCACTGCCATTTTTAAGTGAGCATGTGGGTGAGGAACAAATATACAAGGAATGCAAGTATTTTCTGAGAATGGAAACAATTGGACAAGGACAGAACAAGAACACCTTAACTCTGCCAAACTCAAAGACGAGAGGCAGACTCCTATAGCATGGTGCCGTTCTAGACAATGGGCACAGATTGAAGGCGTATAGATGAAGGTTTTGTTCCAGCATTATGCCGTTGGGAAGGGGAAGAGAGAGCACTCTTGTGCTTGAGTCCTGCTTGCTGGTTTCCTACAAACATATGGGACTAGATGGTACATTGGCTTGATCCAACAGGCTGTTCTTATGTTTGTTGTGGTCTTTTCAGTGCTAGGTGAAGACATTTTTAAATCACCCAGGCCTTTGAAACATGTGTTGTAAAACAAAGCCTAGCCCTTTATTGTTTATAGTAGGTCTTAAATAAACCTTTATATTCCTGCTCTTTTAGTGGAGTTTTAAGCTGAGCTATAGTTTTATTTGGTCTCTGTGAGCAAAAGTTATATAATATTTTGAATTTGTTGTTGTTTTAATTAATGCATTTTGTATTTTTTTAAAAAAAATGTATGAGAGCTTTATATTTTATTTTGTAAGGGAATTTTACTGATGAGAAGCCATGTACATTTCATTATCAACATCATTTTCAACATATTAACAAATAAAATAAAACTGGCTTACTATTAAACGCTGGCCACTTAGCAGATCCCAAAGCCATTTTAAGTCATGGGTCTTGAACACAACAAGAACCGCAGTTGTGTTAGGGTCATAGTGAATTGGATCTGAAAAACTAGACTCTGGATAAAAGAGCCGGAATGTTGTCTTTCTTCCAACGTCTTCTTCATAGCCTACAACAGGTCCATTATTCATTCTGTTGAAGAACATAAGAAAAAAATGGTTCTACAAAAATAAATCCCATTTTTCTGCAATACAGCTTCATGCCTACACAGATGCCTGGCTTCTGCCATGCTACCTGCCGCTAAGACACATATGCCTATCCCCACACAAAACAGATCACACATCCACACACCTAAAACAGGCAAAACTAGGATGAAAAACAAGAGTCAAATCACCAGAGGCCGCTACCCCCAAGCTTATCAGGCAGGGCCCTTTCCAAAGAATTTTAGAGGGAGACCAGAAGACAAAGCATTGGCCTCCAGCTGCCCATCCCTCTTCTGTCCCTATGGAGAACATTTCTGGGCACACCTTGGCACAGTGGCATTCTAGGGAAAGGAAGGGAAGAGGGCAGGGTGGGTGGAAACCTCCACTTCTCTTTCTAGGCCAGCACTGATGAAAATAAGGCCACTTCTTTTACTATAACCCCCCCCAACACCATTTTTTAAAAAATTGGGTCGGGGCTGCCACAGTGTTAACAGGAGCAACGTTGGGCAATGTAACAATACTCCTGTCTATATAAGGAAGTTAAAGAAGAAGAGATCTATAAAGAAGAGACGGTTTAGTGAAATCACTCATAGCCTCTCTAGACTTTTCATTGCCAATATGCAAATCAGCCTTGAGCAAACATTTCTATTGCTGAACAAACAGTTCAAGAGTAAAGTGTACATTCTCTTTAATGAGAAGCAAGTTATTGAGGAAGCTCACTGGGTTCTGAGAGATTACAAAGCCCGGGCTGGCTGCTGCTGGTGGAACAGAGAAACCAGCTGTCAAGGAATAATTAACCCTTCAACACCTTCTCATATACTGTATTTCTATTCTTGTCCCTATGCTTCCTTCCTATATAAAAAAAGGTAAAGGTACCCCTGCCCGTACGGGCCAGTCGTGACCGACTCTAGGGTTGTGTGCTCATCTCACTCAAGAGGCCGGGAGCCGGCGCCGTCCGAAGACACTTCCAGGCCACGTGGCTAGCGTGACGAAGCTGCACTGGTGAGCTAGCACCAGCGCAGCACACGGAAATGCCGTTTACCTTCCCGCTATAAAGCGGTACCTATTTATCCAATTGCACTTAGGGGTGCTTTCGAACTGCTAGGTGGGCAGGAGCTGGGACCAAACGACGGGAGCTCACCCCGCCGCGGGGATTCGAACCGCCGACCTTACAATCAGCAAGTCCTAGGCACTGAGGTTTTACCCACAGCGCCACCCGCGTCCTTCCTATATGTATAACTTCAAATATTGCCTCCCACCCACCCCACCCAAAATGTTGAAAATTATAGGATTTGTACCAAAAGAGAAGCTGGCTATTTTTTTTAAATACTAGCACCCAAGACTGATGACAGTGGCCTTTAATTCATAGAATCATAGAATCATAGTGTTGGAAGAGACCACAAGTCCATCGAGTCCAACCCCCTGCCAAGCAGGAAACACCATCAGAGCACTCCTGACATATGGTTGTCAAGCCTCTGCTTAAAGACCTCCAAAGAAGGAGACTCCACCACACTCCTTGGCAGCAAATTCCACTGTCGAACAGCTCTTACTGTCAGGAAGTTCTTCCTAATGTTTAGGTGGAATCTTCTTTCTTGTAGTTTGGATCCATTGCTCCATGTCCGCTTCTCTGGAGCAGCAGAAAACAACCTTTCTCCCTCCTCTATGTGACATCCTTTTATATATTTGAACATGGCTATCATATCACCCCTTAACCTCCTCTTCTCCAGGCTAAACATGCCCAGCTCCCTTAGCCGTTCCTCATAAGGCATCGTTTCCAGGCCTTTGACCATTTTGGTTGCCCTCCTCTGGACACGTTCCAGTTTGTCAGTGTCCTTCTTGAACTGTGGTGCCCAGAACTGGACACAGTACTCCAGGTGAGGTCTGACCAGAGCAGAATACAGTGGCACTATTACTTCCCTTGATCTAGATGTTATACTCCTATTGATGCAGCCCAGAATTGCATTGGCTTTTTTAGCTGCCGTGTCACACTGTTGGCTCATGTCAAGTTTGTGGTCAACCAAGACTCCTAGATCCTTTTCACATGTACTGCTCTCAAGCCAGGTGTCACCCATCTTGTATTTGTGCCTCTCATTTTTTTGCCCAAGTGCAATACTTTACATTTTTCCTGTTAAAATTCATCTTGTTTGTTTTGGCCCAGTTCTCTAATCTGTCAAGGTCGTTTTGAAGTGTGATCCTGTCCTCTGGGGTGTTAGCCACCCCTCCCAGTTTGGTGTCATCTGCAAATTTGATCAGGATGCCCTTGAGTCCATCATCCAAGTCGTTGATAAAGATGTTGAATAAGACCGGGCCCAAGACAGAACCCTGTGGCACCCCACTAGTCACTCTTCTCCAGGATGAAGAGGAACCATTGATGAGCACCCTTTGGGTTCGGTCAGTCAGCCAGTTACAAATCCACTGAGTGGTCGCATAGTCAAGACCACATTTTACCAGCTTCTTTACAAGAATATCATGGGGCACCTTGTCAAATGCCTTGCTGAAATCAAGGTAGGCTACATCCACTGCGTTCCCTTCATCTACCAGGCTTGTAATTCTGTCAAAAACGAGATCAGGTTAGGCTGACATGACTTATTTTTCAGAAATCCATGCTGACTATTGGTGATCACAGCATTCCTTTCTAGGTGCTCACAGATTGTTTGCTTAATGATCTGCTCCAGAATCTTCCCTGGTATTGATGTCAGACTGACTGGGCGGTAATTATTTGGGTCCTCTCTTTCCCCCTTTTTGAAAATAGGGACAACATTTGCCCTCCTCCAGTCTGCCGGGACTGTTCTCCAGGAATTCTCAAAGATGACTGCCAGTGGTTCTGAGATCACATCTGCCAGTTCTTTTAATACTCTTGGATGCAGTTCATCTGGCCCTGGAGACTTGAATACATCTAAACTAGCCAAGTATTCTTGTACTATCTCCTTAGTTATTCTGGGCTGTGTTTCCTCTGCTGAATCATTTGCTCCAAATTCTTCAGGTCGGGCATTGTTTTCTTTATCGGAGAAGACTGAGGCAAAGAAGGCATTGAGGAGTTCAGCCCTTTCTGTGTCCCCTGTTTGCATTTTACCATCTTCTCCTCTGAGTGACCCCACTGTTTCTTTGTTCTTCCTTTTGCTATGAACATTGCCATAAAAGCCTTTTTTGTTGCTTTTAACCTCTCTAGCAAGCCTGAGTTCATTCTGTGCTTTAGCTTTTCTGACTTTGTGTCTACACGTGCTGGCTATTTGTTTGAATTCCTCTGGTGGTTTCCCCTTTTTCCATTTTTTGTACACATCCTTTTTTAATCTTAACTCAGTTAAAAGTTCTTTAGATAGCCACCCTGGCTTCTTTAGGCACCTTCCATGTTTCTGTCTCATTGGTATTGCCTGACGTTGTGCTTTTAGTATCTCCTCTTAACAAACTCCCAGCCATCATGAACTCCCTTTCCTTTTAGTATTACTGTCCATGGGATCTCACCCAGCACTTCCCTAAGTTTTATGAAGTCGGCTTTCTTAAAGTCAAGAAATTGAGTCCTAGTATGCTTGGCTGCTCCTTTCCGCTGTATAGTAAACTTCAGAAGAGCATGATCACTCGCGCCTAATGATCCTTCCACTTCTACCCCACTAACCAGGTCATCAACATTGGTTAGGACCAGATCTAAAATGGCTGTTCCTCTTGTTGCTTCTCCCACTTTCTGGACAATGAAGTTGTCTGCAAGGCCAGTGAGGAATCTGTTTGACCTTATGCTCTTGGCTGAGTTTGACATCCAACAAATATCCGGGTAATTGAAGTCCCCCATTACTACTATCTCCCTTCCTTTTCCATGCTTGGTCATCTGTTCCAGGAAGGCATCATCTATGTCCTCCATTTGGCTTGGGGATCTATAGTAAACTCCCACAATGAGGTCACTGTTATTCTTCTCTCCCTTAATTTTGACCCAAATGCTCTCACTTTGGCTTTGAGGTTCTAAATCTTGGATCTCTTCACAGGTATACACATCCCTGACATATAACGCCACTCCTCCTCCTTTCTTGTCTGGTCTGTTTCTCTGAAATAGATTGTATCCCTCCATTATTACATTCCAATCGTGGGACTTATCCCACCAGGTTTCAGTGATGCCTATTATGTCATATTTAGTTTGCTGTACCAAGAGCTCAAGCTCATCTTGTTTATTTCCCATGCTTTGCGCATTAGTGTACAGACATTGAAGTCCATTAATCATTCCCCGTGTCTCTTATTTAAGGATTTTTTCCTCCCACCACTAGGTCTGTGTGCTGTTTGCTCCATTTGGTCTATGACATTTGGATGATCATCTTCATCAATTGATAGACTCCTACCTTCAGGAGCACTGTCTCCCTCCCCACATTAGTCAGTTTAAAGCCCTCCTGATGAGGTTTCTGAGATTTTTGGCAAAAACATTCCTCCCAACCATTGTGAGGTGCAGCCCATCGCTTGCCAGAAGTCCATCTTCAAGAAACTGCAGTCCGTGATCTAAGAATCCAAACCGTTCCTGTTTACACCATTTGCGAAGCCAGCTGTTCACTTCCACTATTTTTTCTCTCTCTCTGGGCCACGTCGTTCAACTGGGAGGACAGATGAGATGACAATTTGTGCATTTAATTGCTTCAATTTCCTGCCCAGAGCCTCGTAATCTCTTTTGATGTTCTGGAGGCTATTGCTTACAGTGTCATTGGTTCCCACATGAACCAAGAGGAAGGGGTATTTGTCAGTGGGTTTTAAGATTCCTTGCAGTCGTTCAGTTACATCTTGGATCTTAGCCCCGGGGAGACAGCACACTTCCCAAGACATCTTGTCAGGCCCACAGATCACTGCTTCTGTTCCCTCAGTAGGGAATCCCCTATCACCACTACACGTCTCCTCTTAGGTTTGGTCGGGGTTCTTCCATGAGCTGTCCGTTCCAAGGTCGCCTGCACATTCCCTGAGGACTGACTTTGCTGCTCGTCTTCATATACCTGATCGACTGTAATGAGGGAGAGATCCTCAAATGGAGTCTGCTCTTCATCTTCCATGCTAGGGGAGAGGACCTCAAAGCGATTTTGTATTTCTAAACAATCAGAGCGAACCCTGGGCCTCCTACTTCTTTCAAAAGGGAAAAGTCATGGTAGCCACTATTTTGCAGAACAAAAGATTCATATAAGGAAAATGATACTGAACAATAGAAATACTTACTAAAACTTATTAATTAATGCAAAAAATCCATTTACCTGATTACCACATCATAAGAATCAATTGTCTCCCCCAGACTCTTGTTTCGAAGCACCCCTCCATTGCCAACAACAACACATTTTTTACAGGATGGGCTGCGGGAACAAAGAGATTGTGATCAATCCAAGTTTTGTGGAGAAAATGCTTTTATTGGGGAGGGTTAATTTACCCCACCTCACAACATAATTAGCACAAACACTTAAACTCTGAGACAATTTGACAATGAAAGTGGATAGCCAACCACTTGAGGAAAAAAGAATAGGGAATATAACCAAATGATTGGAGGAATTAAGTAGAAGGGGGGATTTTAGGACCGGCCAGCCCTCCTGGTAGTTTTCTGCTCCTGACTGCAGCTTCTGAAGCTTCTTTTCAGGTTTTCCTCTTTTTAAAAAAGTAAGAGAATCCAGGTCTTGTATTGCTCTTGGACTCACAGTAGGGTCCTGTCCAGACGCTGTGGACTACGATTCTCATCATCCCTGGTCATTGGCTGTGCTTGCTGGGGCTAATGGGAGCACCACAAAGCTCTTCTTCCACTATGTGTGCTTAACTTTTTCATAAACCTGCAGTGAAGCCCCTTCTCCCACTGGGCCATACAAGCAGTTAATAGATTCTTCTTCTGAAGGACCTCAATTGCCACTCCAGCCACCTACCTAGACAGCACCAGGCAGTGGGTACGTCCTGTCCTTGAGGTCCTTCTAGCCTCACAAGCCTCTGCTTATGAAGCAGGCTGGACATTCTCAAAGGAGGCATTAATTGCTTATCATTCTCTTCCTTTCTTCCCTCCCACCCAGGAGCCTGAACAAGAATGCACAATGTGCACAAGAAATTCATGAATATATCTTAGCTTGGCACTTTGCTTGCTGACATAAATGCATATAATGTAACAAGCTTATTTGTTATCTGTGATTGGGGCATGACACTCATGAGCCAGATTAGGAAGCAGCAAACAACACTGGTTCGTGTAACATTCTGGTGTGGAAAAAGCAGACAAAGGCAACTGCTGTGTGACAAGCTCCCCGAAACCAAATATCAGTGCTCAGCACACAGCAACCAATCTACAATAAAACAACACAATACCCTCCCACCTTCCTCTCCATTCCCCAGCAACAGTAAGTCTATTCTGTGGTGTTGTTTGCATTGCACAACCTTCTACCTTTATCCAAACCAACCTCTTCGCCCCCCAGGAGAAATCAGAAATGTTCTTTCAAACTCTGGCATTGTTTTAAACTTAACATACTTTTCTCCCTTCTTCTCATCCTTTTAGAACGAGGGTGATCCAAATGTTGGGAGATGAAGCTAAATGTTGGGAGATCTGGGACAGACAAAAAGAAGTACAGTGGTACCTCGGGTTAAGAACTTAATTTGTTCTGGAGGTCCATTCTTAACCTGAAACTGTTCCTCACCTGAAGCACCACTTTAGCGAATGGGGCCTCCCACTGTCGTTGCGCCTCCAGAGCACAATTTCTGTTCTCAACCTGAAGCAAAGTTCTTAACCCGAGGTACTATTTCTGGGTTAGCAGAGTCTGTAACGTGAAGCGTATGTAACCTGAAGCGTATGAAATTCGAGGTACCACTGTATTTAAAAATTAAGCCACCCTCAAATATGAAGTTATGGTGTAGAATTCACATGGATCCAGGACATTAAAATGGGACCAGCTGGTGAAGGGCAGATAATTGAATGTATATTTTCAGGACCCATCCTATTTTTCACAAGACCCCTTTTTGGGATCTTTTTCTAATTACATGTTTTATAACTGGTTTTTTTCTCTCTTTTAAATGATTGTAACCTGCCCTGTGACCTTAGGCTAAAGGGTAAAGGTAAAGGGACCCCTGACCATTAGGTTCAGTCATGACCGACTCTGGGGTTGCGGCACTCATCTTGCTTTATTGGCTGAGGGAGCCAGCGTACAGCTTCCTGGTCATGTGGCCAGCATGACTAAGCCGCTTCTGGCGAACCAGAGCAGCACACGGAAACACCATTTACCTTCCCGCCGGACCAGTACCTATTTATCTACTTGCACTTTGACGTGCTTTTGAACTGCTAGGTTGGCAGGAGCAGGGACTGAGCAACAGGAGCTCACCCCATCGCAGGGATTCAAGCTGCCGACCTTCTGATCGGCAAGTCCTAGGCTCTGTGGCTTAACTCACAGCGCCACCTGCGTCCACTAGGCTAAAGGGTTGATAATAAATTAAAATCATCATCATTATTAACATGGCCAACAACATTTTTATAATGAATGAATGTTGATGTCAACAATTGAAGAACTGCCCAGATTTTTTTTTCTTTAAATGAACAATCAAAGGGGCAAATCCTTTTGAGTTCCAATTTGCATTTAGAACTCAACTGAGCTATGCAGTGAGCAATTCCATCTTGTGTGTCCTGGGCGGCTGGGTTTGTTTGTTTTTTTTTACATGGGCCTTAATCTCAGCTAAAATGATAGCAATTATATCAATCCAAAGACTGTATTTTTCATCAACAGTTGGCAATAACACAAAAACAACCTCACCTATCATCTTCAGTGAATACTCTGCAGTTTTGTAGTCTTGAAAGTGCCATATGGAAATACCTTTCTGTAATACAAATTATTTTAGAAAAATCATTAATTAAGAATCAACACTTTATTGTACCAACAAAATTAAACGTAATTGTGTTGTGTGCATTTTTAAATAAAATATTAAATTGTCAGATGTCAGTGTGAGTTTGTTAAATAAGTTTATGGCCTTTTAATCTCATGAATACTGTTGGAGCAGAGACTTAAAACCCCAGCGGCAATAGTCATAAAAAGATTAGGAAGAATACAAGTTTCTTGTGCTTTATCTCTATTCCATGTTAATTGATGGAAATATATGGAAGCAGCCTATAATTCCCTGCTCCCAACCAAGGTGCCAGAATGTTTCTGTGATATGCATCCTCACAATTAAATTGGGCCCATTCTGCACATTCCATATCCCTGCAGGCACCATCTGCAATTCAAATGCTTAAAATGAAATATTGCATGGACCTTCCAAAACATTCAATTTCTCCTCTCCACCCCAATTATAAGCAGGTAAAGAAGGGTGCATGCAACACCATGTGTGAAGTGGAATGAGGAGGGGGAAGCAGGAAATCACATTCTACATTTTCCATATCTGCTTGGTGTTGTACCATACTGCCTTTAAACAGCAACACCTCAGAAAAAACTTTACACCCATTAATATATAATGAAAGCTTCACTTTCATCATTTAATCTTGCATAACCTTATATTTAATGCAGCACATATCAATGGCTTACCCGCTCCTTTTATTCCATAAGGTAGTTCGATCCTGTGACTTCCATGGTCCCCAGACACTTTTACAAAATCGTTAATGCACAGAAAAGGATAGAATTTTTCCCCCCTAGAGGTAAAAAGAGGGGGGGAAATATTAAATTGTTAGTTCATTTGTTTTATAAAATAATGCCACGTTTTGGTGCCAAAAAAGAAACCATCCCAAGACTGCTTACCAACATTTCAGACAAGAACAGACAATAAGTTTAATGCATTATAAATAGCCCCAAAACAAATAAAAATGGGAGTAGTTAACAACCAGCACATACAACACATCAATAAAAACAATGAAACAAGTAAATTTGAAAGGTCTACATAAAAGTAGAGGCAAAGTCATGTGTACTTATTTAGGGAGAGATTTCCAGAAATGTGGGGCAACCAGAAGAAAGGCCCTGTCTTTGATGTCCACTTTGGTGATGAGCCTTGATGACTATTATTATTATTATTACTATTATTATTATTATTATTATTATTATTATTATACAGAAAGCAGGCCTCTGAGCCTGCTTGTAGGATCTATGAAGATTCATATGAGTGCAGACGGTCCTTTAGATAACCTGGCCCCCAATCTTTCAGTGCTTTAAAGGTCAAAACAAGCACTTTAAACTGAGCCTGGAAACAAAGAGGCAGCCAATGTAGACAGCACAGTGTTGCTTGGTTCCCACAAGTACAGTCAAACCTCGGTTGTTGAACGTAATCCATTCTGGAAGCTCGTTCAGCTTCCGAAATGTTCGACAACTGAGGCGCGGCTTCCAATTGGGCGCAGGAATGTCCTGCACCCAAACAGAAGTAGTGTTGGACGTTTGGCTTCTGAAAACGTTCAAAAACTGGAGTATTTACTTTGGGTTTTCAGCATTTGGGAGCCAAAACGTTCCAAAACGGAGGCGTTCGGGATCCGAGGTTTGACTGTATCTTAAAAGTTGTATTCTTTGCAGGCTAAAGTTTCTGAACTGTCTTTAAAGGCAGTCCTACATATTGCATAATTTCCTCTGCATGCAACCAGAGCATGTGTAGCTGAGGTAAGATCTGTTTCTCCCGAAAGAGCTGTGGCTAGTGAACTAGCATAAACCGAGGCACTCCTAGCTTACTAGGTCACCAGTGTTTCCTGATTGCACATAATCCAAGAGAATCCCCAAACTGTGCACCTGGCTCTTTTAGATGGAATGCAACTTCATCCAAAACTCATACAGCAATCTGTTCAATACTCAGAACTCCCATCTTTTCTAAATTAAACTTCATTGATTTGCTCTCACCTATCCAAAATCTCCCAGTAGTGATGTATGGAAGTGAGAGCTGGACCATAAAGAAGGCTGATCGCCGAAGAATTGAAGCTTTTGAATTATGCTGGGGGAGATTCTTGAGAGTCCCATGGACTGCAAGAGGATCAAACCTATCCATTCTGAAGGAAATCAGCCCAGAGTGCTCACTGGAAGGACAGATCCTGAAGCTGAGGCTCCAATACTTTGGCCACCTCAAGATAAGAGAAAACTCCCTGGAAAAGACCCTGATGTTGGGAAAGATTAAGGGCACAAAGAGAATTGGACGACAGAGGATGAGATGGCTGGACGTGTTCTCGAAGCTACCAGCATGCGTTTGACCAAACTGCGGGAGGCAGTGGAAGACAGGAGTGCCTGGCGTGCTCTGGTCCATGGGATCACGAAGAGTCGGACACGACTAAACAACTAAACAACAACATCCAAAATCTCCCTTCAGACATACATTCAAAGGTTTTCATCACCTCTCTAAGACTAAGTGCTCAGAAAACATTTGTTATGGATGCCCAGTAAGCCTGACTATTCCATAGTAAATGCCTTTTCTGGAAGCAATCACTGAAATGAGAGCAAAACTTCCACTAGATTTCCAGAAGTGACTTTTATATCCTATGAAAGACTGAATAAAATGCAGTATTTAATAGATCAGGAAAACAGGAAGATGGATTAAAGTGCCTAAAAAACTCCTTTTAGGACGGAGTGTGTCATTTGTGAAGGCCGTTAAAGCAGAACAGAAAAGGGAAGTGAACCATTTTCATATGTACATTCTGGCAAGTGTAGCTTTTATAGACAAAAACCAGCTGGCATCTGGCATACAGGCTCGATGCCTGATATGCATTGCTTGGTACTAATCCTCAGGTTTTTGTGGCTCCAGTGCTGCACTGGTGAAAAAGAGGTCCCTGCTCTTGTTGTACAAAAATTTGAACTTAGGATGGTCTGTGCCCACACTTGACTTGTATAAAGTAGTTTGATTATACTGCACTGACGCAACATACTTGGTGCTGAACTGCACTGGTTTTTCAAGTCACAGCCGTATTTTGGATGAACTGCAGTTCTCAAATCACCTTCAAAGGTAGCCCAGGATAACACCTTGCAGTAGTTTAAGCTGGAGAATAACAGGGTGTGAATAACTGAGGCCAGACAGCTGTACAGAAAGTGCAGCAGTCTAAATTGGTAAATGGTGCACTAGGCAACCTGAACCTCCAGTGTGTAGGCTGCTGTTGCTGACTGGAGGGAGAGGAGCGAGGCAGTAGGGAGGCTGGTGCAGTGCAAACACAGTGGTAGAGCCAATCTGGCGTTCCTGCTGGTAATTTGCACCACAAATACCTCCCTGTCACCTTGCCCCTCCTGATCAACAGCAGCAACCCACCTGATGAGAAGTTAGTGTAGTGGCTCCATCCCACCTGGTGAGCTGCTTCTGCTACGAACTTGTTCTTTGGGGTTCAGGTGGGAAGCCTGTGGATCAGAGCTGCATGCAAACCACAACCTTATTGAACATGGCCCTCAATACCTTCTGAAGCTGCCCCACTCTTCTATCCTATCAGAGTTCCTTCCTTCTTGTTCATGCCTTGCTTATTTTCCTCGGCTTTTTGCCTTCTTTCTGTGTAGTTAGTGCAGAACAACTAGAAGGACCAATATTTTGGGGGGGCATGAACTGGTGTGGGTGTTCTTCTTTTTTTTTTTCTGACTGCATCGCTTAGGGTAAATGTCTGATAAGCGAGGTATGTGAGTACACATGCTAAGTCAGAAAATAATTCTCGTCACTTGCTTTCCAGAAAACTGTATTGATCTGTAATGCTTAAAAAAAAACCTCATCAGTATACTTATTTGAGAGTAACCCCATCAAATTCAATAGGGTTTACTCTTCCCACCTTGGATCAAATCTACACTTCCAGGTGTCATAAGAAAGCTGAAGAGATAGTGCAGGATAGTGTGCACCCCGGAAATGATCTCTTTCAGCTTCTGCCTTCTGGAAGAAGGTACAGGGTTATAAAGACTAGGACTAGCCACCTGAGAAACAGTTTCTATCCAAATGCGATTTTGGTTTTAAATGCGGTGTAAGGAGTCTCTATGGTAGTATATTGTATTTATAAATGGGATATCAGAGTTTTTAGAGGGCTAACCAGGTTGGGATAGCAGGGATAGCAGGCTTGTTGGTTTTTGAATGTCTTACTTAGATTTTTCAATTTCGTTGTTCTGTATGGGACAATGACAATAAAGATTATCGTATTGTATTGTATTGTATTGTATTGTATTGTATTGTATCGTATTGTATTAAGAGTAGAATCTGCATAGGACTGCAAATTCTAACCCTTGGTAGCCACGGTTGAAACTGGTCTTTATTTGTAAATCCAAAATATGTTTGTGTCTGGCTCCACCCACCACCAACATGTGGACATCAACAGATTACCATCAAGGGAATGCAACTAGCAACAAAAAAGAAGTTGCCCACCCTTGCTTTTGGAAGAGGGGACTGCAAGCCCATTCAGCACATGGTGACCATTAGTAATTTGTGTTGATGACCCCTTCCCCCTTTCCCCTTACTTTATTAAAGATGAAACACCAGGTTTGTAAGGGCAACCTATTATTTGTCCTTTTCTGTCTCCTCCATCTGTAGGGGGTAACCTAGAACAACAACAACAAATTCACCATATTAAAATAGACAGACAGACTGATAGGAGGTAGTGAACATCTGAATAAAAAAATTATATATATACACACACACACTCCATTTTATTTACAGACAATCCATAAAACCTGCTGCAGCATTCAATCTCAAATTAAGTCTTTCTAGGTTGCACTGATTTCAGTGCACCAGAGTCATATGCCTTAAACTATACAACATGTGATGCTGAATTGCATATGCTTCTTCCCTGGTTTATGGGCTACTTATTCTGCAAGTTCAATGTCTGATTAAAAAGCACCCAAAAGAGAACTTTAATAGAGCTGAATGCAGAAGGCTTTGAAACATGACATGCCCCACCCACATTGCCATACAACACAAGCTAAACTGAAAAGGAAACTGCCAATATCATAGTGCTCTTATATAAATCTATGGTGCAACTACATTTGGATTAGTTCTAAGAAGGAGGGTTGCAGCATTTGGGGCTTTTTAATTCAGAGAAAAGATGAGTAAGCGGGTTAACAATGGGTGCTAAGTCTGTGCTTTTCTCATGGTTTATTTCTATGGATCATGGCGTCAGTGCAACTGGCATACGTTTCAGATAAAATATACCATTCATGAACTATCTGTGACCCTGATACAAGCTCCTGTCTTAAATTCAGTCTGGAAGGTACAGCAACCATCCTGACCCTTAAGAGGTACATACTAATCAGCATACTAATCTTACATTTACCAACACAGCTGAATTACCGCCCTCCTGTAAATAGGAACCAGACTTCACAGAGATAATATGGAGTAGGAACCAATCTTCACACAGATAATGAAATCCTCTTTCAAGAGTAAATTTATGATTCAGGAACTGTATAACCATATCGTCTTCCTGTACTGAAGACTTCAGAAAAGTGTAAAAATTAAAGCATCATGGTGCTCCAATTTGGATATTAAAAATCACTTTAAACTGTGAAATCCTCAAGCATCCTTAGTCAAAATAAGGTAGTGCTACCTTTTCAGATTAAGTCCCACTTAGGCCAGGGATGAGGGAGGGGTCAGAGACACTTGCCTACAATGTCATAAGTAATTCTGCAGTCATTTTGTTTTTCCTCAGACACTTTTGCTAACTAACCTAACAACATGTTTTCCAGCTCCTGCATAAGACATGCAATTGCAGAGGTACAGCCAAACGATTCTTGGAGAGATCTGCAGTGACAAATTAACAGGTAGTTTGTCTAAGTCTAAGAAGATGTTGTAATTACCAATAGTCATTTGTCCGTCGCAGGTTTCGGTGTAGTATAACATACATCACTCCCGCACCCAAGAGAATCGCACATATGATCCGTTTCATGACTGTCAAATCTGAAACAAAAGTTCAAAAGAGAAACGTTAGTGTTATTTCTAGATGTCAAATTTCGGCGAAAGAAAGAAAGAAAGAAAGAAAGAAAGAAAGAAAGAAAGAAAGAAAGAAAATAATCTGTCACCTGTCATTTATCAGTTTCACAGGTTTTCTCTAAGTCTATGGACTACTCACTCAAATTCCAGCTGAAGTACAAAGGAGTTCATTGACATGCTTGCCTATTAATATGATATGAAGGCAGCTGTGTTTGCTCAATAGGTTTTAAGGTGTTTAAATAAACCAGTCATGAAACAAATCTTGCATAGTCTTTGCTCTGAGCCTGGAAAAATGGTAGATCTTTCACAACTGTTTGATTAGCTATCAAAGCTAAGTTCTGTAATAATATCCTCCGTGATCCTGGTTAAGGGCCTCGTAGCAATCTGTTCCTATATTTGCTCTCTGTCTTTGTTTTCAGCTCGTTTCCTTTCCGCTTTATGTAAAACACCTCCTCTGTAGCAAATATTGTGGCTTGCTGAAAACAGCTCAGCGCATTCTCTCTAATATATTATTTCCTAAACATGGCTTTCTGGACTGAGCATCTTGGTCAACCTGCTTCAGCAAAATGGAAAACCTCTATAAACCCCCCAACAATCATAGACTTTAGATTTATGCAAGGGGAGCACTCTATTAAATGGAGAACCAAGGCTGATTTAAATTGCTCAAGAGCATAGATGGCCAGGGGGCGGCGGAGGGGAAGGGACTCTAGCATTTCTTTCCTCAATGGGGCCAAGATGACATGAGTTGTGCTAACTCCATAAAACCTACTACCTCAATCTGGTGCCTTCTCAACTACTACTCCCATCTCCTGTTGGAAGTGCAACAGAGAAGGCCATGCATGTTGGATCTGGGCAGACCAGGAGGAAGGAGAAGCCAGTGGGGAGGGAAACTGCCCTTTTGTAGGACTTGTCTAGTCAACCAAAAGGTGACTCTAACTCAAGCAGTAGTGTAACAGCAAGTCCTTGGGGAGGAAAGAAGGGATGTTATTTTTCACTACTGCCTGTTTTCCTTTGGGTTTCAAAGGAGAGGTTCAGAAGCACCCCTCATACTGAGCCAGGGGCCGTAGTGCTGACCATGATGCCCACATAGCAGGGGTTAAGATGGCAGCCTAAGTGACCCAACACATTTTGTCCAATTCCACATCCAGATGTAGGGTCTTTAGTTGCACCATATCCATGATGCTGAGATGTCCCGGCTAAGGACATCTGTGTGCCACCCATATCTTGTTCCTCCCAACTGACTGCTTTCAATGAGGGGGCTGGCACCGTGTTGCTTTTATTGGTATTATTTGTATAGCTTTGATATATTTTTATATGTATACATATAGTTTTAATTTAATTTTAATTTTTTTAAAAAATAAATTCTCTATGTTTTTAGCTGTTCTTATTTTTATTTGTAAGCTGCCTTGAGTCACTTTCACAGAAGAAGATGGGATATAAATAAATACATCATTATAATCCCTGGCAACAACAACTGGGGCTGATGGGAAGTTGTAACTTTGGGGAGGGGAAAACAGCTGGGGGCACCAAGTTGGGAAAAGTTGCCCTAAAGCGTTCATCAAATGAACTCAAATGGTTCAACATTCTGCCTTAAAAGCATGAAACTATGTTTCAGACCCTCTTGAACACTTGTTTCATTTTTAGATGAAATGCTAATTTTGCATACCTCTCTTGTGAATTTAGGTGGGCAGATTCTCTATTAATTACAACTTTTAAAAACCCCAGCAACAACAATCTAACACGTTACAGCTCTAATTGTTAAAACAATTTGCATTTTTGAGCACGTCTGACCATCCAGTGTATTTGTATAACCTAACAAATCCATCCCAGAAACAAACAAGGATTTCTGGACAGCAGATACCCACACCCAGCTGTTTCAGTTCATGACACACACGGAAAGGAAGGGCTCTAAATTTTATGGATTGTTAACCTGGGCAGAGTTGTGTCTGCTCTAGCTAGAAAAAAAACTATCTATGCTTGGCAAACATATAAAATGATGTGAATTGATTCTAATCTGCAAAGGCTTGAGCAAAGGCTTGACTTCCTGAATTCCTCCCTATGATCACTACTTACTGAACTTGGTAGGCCTGCTATATTGCCCATAGTGTACAAGACAATCACAATTCTATACCAAAAAAAGGAACAAAAATGCCATGGTGCCCGAAAGACCACCAAATGAGTTGCAGCATAAGCTTTGGTGGGGAGCAAATCCTCATCAGATGCATGACATGTTATCCACAGCTAATGCCATGGACGTGTCTGGAACCCAATTCCCAAGGAGTACTGGCTGGCATCTGACTTTAATATCTGTCACTGCCTGGTATATCTCAAGGAGGTTTAACAAACTGAAGAACATTGTCCTCTTTCTATGCTCCTCCCGATGGAAACATGCAAATGGGGACAGATATACCCTGCTTTAAGTTGTTTACATTCTGTCTTCTCTTGTACAGTGGTACCTCGGGTTACATACGCTTCAGGTTACAGACACTTCAGGTTACAGACTCCACTAACCCAGAAATAGTACCTCGGGTTAAGAACTTTGCTTCAGGATGAGAATAGAAATCGTGCTCCGGCGGCACAGCAGGAGGCCCCATTAGCTAAAGTGGTGCTTCAGGTTAAGATCAGTTTCAGGTTAAGAACAGACCTCCAAAACGAATTAAGAACTTAACCCAAGGTACCACTGTATATTATTTACTACAAAGCTCGATGACTAAGCTCTCTAGCAACAAAATGTCTGATTTACTGGTATGACGTCTGAGCACTGAACCACTGATATATCGCAAGTCGACTCTTTACTTACTGTGTTTGCAATTAAGATAAAACCTGTTTGGGAAAGAAACTACTTTTGCCATCTTTATGGACATTTGAAGTTTGTATTGCTGCATTTTTGCAGCTCTGTTGTTTTAATATGGTTTTGAAATACTGTTAAAACGATAAACTACCTTGAGCTCCTTGCAGGAACAGCAAGGCATACATGTAATAACATCAACATATTTGACAACAAAAGGAAAAAGTGAGTGAGAAGGATAGCAAACACTGAAGCAGCTACTACATCTCTGAATGGGATCAGGTTGCCTTCCTGCTTGTCATGATGTTCTTCCTGGGAGGCAGTGGGTGCTTCTCAGTGGCTCGTACTTCCCCGACTGCCTTCAGCTCTGCAGTCCCAGGACTGTTACTGATTCCTATTACTGCTAACATTATTGATGGATACTGTTGTTTTAAATTGCTTTAAACACTGCCCTGGGAGTGGTAACACTTAAAGGTGGAGTATAAGTTTCAAAATAAATCAACACATAAAAATATTTTAAGGTGCCAGAAGATGCTTTCTTGTTTTAACAGCAACCCCTCTGGAGTCACTCAGTACAGACACAAGCTGTTTGAAAAAGGGCTTTCAGGCAGCCCTGCGCTTTGAAGTCCCAGAACTGGGGCTTCAAAGTGCAGCTTCACCTGATGTCATAGTGCAGATGGTCAGCCCCACCCACTTGTCAAATTTGTTCCACCAGGAGTAAGGAGATAAGAGTATGACCTGCTGGCCAGAAAAGATTACCTACCCTTTCCTTAAGGGAACACAGAGTGAGACCCTGGAACCAAGAAGAGAAAGATGGGCATATTTGCCTTTTTAAAAACCTGGATTCCCTGTCACAGGGCCATGTGCTCTGCAGGCTAGGCCTACCCTCATGACTGGCATGCTATCCAACCAACCAACCACGCATTTGACAACTGTGGCCAATGATCTCCCTAAGTATGGACAAGCCTCTTGCTGTTGCCAAACATACAGCTGATCGAGGAGGTGGGCACTGGTTGCAACTACACGTACAGCACGGGAAGTCTATGAAGACCAACTAGCTCCTCATGGATGCTTTCAACACATTCAATTGTGCATCTAAACTGCCCTACTGTGTATTCCTTCAAGCAAATCTGATCCTAGCTGCCATTCTTCAAATGGCTTGCAGCCACTGCTCCTATTTTAAAGTGCCAGAGGATTAGTTTTCTTCCTTGTGCCAACACAAATACTACATTCATAGGTTTTTGCAAAGTTACTTATTTTCATAGCACTAAACTGTTTGCTTTCTCGGGGCATCTTAAGCTATCCTGATAGCAGTAAGCCAGAAAGCAAAAAATCAACAATGGTTTTTTGGTGTTCTTTTTTTTTTTTTTTTTTTGCAGGAACAGTGTGTTTTGTTCTACTAGCATTCTGAATGCTCAGAAATTAAAAGACTCCCTAAAGTAGAGGTCACTAACCCCCAAACCCAGAGGTTAGATCAGGTACCCAAAGTGATTTTTCTGTCCCATGGAGACCCTACTCATTTTGGGGGGGGGGGGTTCAGTAAAAATGGAGGGATGACGTAGACACAGCACAGGGGAGGGGACAAAGTTTTCCGCCCATCCCAGTAACTTGATGGGGGTCCCTCTTCCAGTTTCTCATATTTTTTTAACGTTAGGGATAGTTAATCAAAATTGGTATTTTGGTAATTAAGATGCTCTGGTCTGAGTGAATCAGCATCTCTTTCAAAAGATCTATATTCACAAAGATATTTGTAATGCATTTTCAGTTGACTGGCAATATGCCTTAGCTGGAAAGATTGTGGTAGTTGTGCAGAATCAATGTTACTTGTTTATATGAAATTATGTGCCCATAAATAATCCATTAAAAAAGAGAGAGAGAGAAACTTCCAGTATTTTTGAACACTATACTAGTGAATTTATTTGTGAGCCAATATGTACTTGGGGATATGCTTGGGGGCAGTGTTAAAAACAGAGATATGAAGGCTAGGAGCTAAATGGCACCTTATGTTATGGGCGCAACAATGGAATGTCTAGGCATACTTTTTAAATAACAAGAAAACAAAGCTGAAAATAAATGAACTGCAGCTAAAATCTTATATTCATTTTTTACATGGTCTAGTCCTCTTCTGAAGACTGCAAAAAACAAAGCCATGCTTCCTCTGCCCACCCCTCTAATATTCTTAAGAGGGTCTATTCTCCAGTCTTCAGAGAGTGGCTGCAAGTGGAGAGGCAGAAAAAGGTCCAGTTTTAATCTGAAATCTTAGGTGCAGTACTGCGCCCAGAGCTCAGAAACTGCTCACGCTATTGAAATTACTTGTCACAAAATGTGCCTAGAACAATGGGAGTTTTGAATGCTGCTTGAGGGTAACTGATGTTAGTGTTTACACCAAACTTTTAATACATATTTAGAGTGGATGTCAAGACTTGAGAATCAATAACGTATGTTCTTAGTTGTACCGTAACGGTTTCCAGAATTGCTATTATAGATCTCTTTTTCTGCCTTAATTGCTTTGTCTATTTTGAATCACCTTGAGATACAGGCCAAGTTTTACTGCTTGAAAATATCTTGTTAGGGCAGGTATTTCAAGATCTCCTTTGCTTCTTTTCCAATATAGGTTTTCACTGGTGATTCTCTGTGGTTTTATTTGATCAAATGCATTTTATTTTTAAAAACTGGTCAACTTTTTAATTTATAACTTTCAACTTCCAATGCATTCTAGGGTTTTGAGAGAAAACAATTTCTGTATTCACCAGGCCTACAAAAGTTCATAACCATCAACCTCTGCTACCTTCCTTCTAAATTATATTTGTAAAGCCTCTTGTTTTGCAGCAGGATGCTTTGACTCCTGCTCAAATAACTGCTTTTTTGTCTCTTGTTTGTGCCTGTACACATTTGTACAGCATCCTTTTTGAGCTTGGGAGTGGGGAAGAGAAAACCAAGCAGAGTATTCTAAATGTGGATGCACCATGACCTTCATAAGAAGCAACCCACTTGAACTTTGCAAGAGCTTTGGTCTCTATTAGACTCCTCCCACCTGCTGTTAGCACCCAGATAAAAGAGAGCCACTAAGAAAGAGGAAGCTGTGGGTGAACATTTCAAACAGCAAAGCACTTTTTTCTGGCAGAACTCCTGTGCATTTAACAGTTGCCTGGCAGGTAGTCATTTAGCAGCTTGAAACGTTTTCCTAAATGGTGAAGTGGTGTGGAAGGCTTCCTTTCCTGAGCATGTCTGCCATCCAAGTAGCTCTTAAATTACAGAGAATCCTTGCCAGAATGGAGGCTACCAACAGCACTGGGCCCTCCTTATCTGCAGGTGAAGGAAACAGAACGATCAATATAAGAACAAGCAAACAAAGGAAGTGTGGGAGGATTGTGGGCAATATATCTTCTTCTCTGGCGATCCCTTGTAGATGAATAAGAAGCAGCAGTATGTGATGTTGCTATTGTCTCTTCCTCTGCCAATAAGAAAAAGGGTTTGGAGAGGACCTCATATCAGGTGGACTCCACATAAATGCGGTATCTACTTCTGTTGGGAAGCCTTTTGAGTCGTATCTGGCTCAGCAAGAGACACTCCTTTAGTTTCCAACCAAAAGGAGAGAGAAATTTGACAAAGTGGCAACAAAATTTGGGAACCAGGGCACTTAAGAACCCAAGCAGAACCCTACTGGATCAAACCAAAGGCCCACTTAGTCCAGTATCCTCTTGTCACAGTGGCTAGGCAGAGGCCTCCAAGAAGCCAGAAAGTGGGGCACAGGTGCAACAGCGCTTTAGAGGGCTAGGAAAAAGAGAGGCTAACCAGGGGGATAAGCATTTGTGGGAGACAGAGGAAGAGCACAGTGTTAAGTCCTTCTTCAGGTAAACATGCCTAGATCAAAGAAAGAGGGCTCTCTCTCTCTCTCTCTCTCTCTCTCTCTCTCTGTGTGTGTGTGTGTGTAGTTGTAGCTTGAAAGTAGAAAGATGTAGCACCAAGCCATTATTCCAGGGGAGGAGTCCCAGAAATAACAGGCAGCCAGGGATAATGAATAAATAAGGTCAACCTGGACATAGGACTCAATGTATCATTAGAAAGCAGAAAGCACATCAGAGTTTTATATTTTAATAGAAGGTACAGAAATTATTTCCACAGAGTCTGTACGCAAAAGTGGTTCGTTCTGCAGCTACATGCCCAATGAAAATTTTCCCCCTGTGCTGGAGGGGAAATTCCAGTGAGGGAGAGAACTAAGCCTCACCACCTTGTACACTCTGGCCCCTGTAAAAATTGATTTTACTTGTCTATTACTATAACTTTCAAAGACCTAAACGGCTTCCTAACAATTCACTTGGTGTCACATCTACTTTGGCCCTTATTTAAGACAGCAAAAGACCTTGAGAGGCTAAGGAGAGTAGAATTGGAGAAGTTCAACTTCTGCAACATCCGTTGTCATGGGTACTCCATAAGTACCTAACAGTGCTGCAAGCTTAGGAACTTCCTCAAACTTAGTTTGTATTGATATATGAGGAAATCCCAACGAAAGAACAGTGGCAAGAAAAAGTGATGAGTTATGCAGAGTTGGCTAAACTGACATATAAATTGTGGGATAAGAACAACTGTGGCTTTAAGGAAGAATGGGAGCTTTCTACAAATTATTTAAAAAATGAACTGGACTCCTTTGGCAGGTTTTGAATAAACATGCACAGATTTATTGGTTGATAACATTTTAGATAGATAATGTAAGGATATGTAAAATTTTATAACATGCAGAGAATAATATGTGCTGAGAAATCAGAGAGAGGAGCTGAGGGAAGTCTTTGGTGGGGGAGGGGAGGGAGGGATGGAAGTGGGGAAGGGGGGAAATAATATATGTGAGTATATGGTTTGATATTTTGTTATGTTTAAATTGCTAATAAAAATATTTTTTTAAAAAAAAGAGGGGGGAAAGTTTGTATTGATATAAAGTCTCACAGAATAGCTTGCATTTGAGAAATGAATTCATAATAATCATAATCATAATAATCATAATAATCATAATAATAATATCTTTATTGTCATTGCCCCCTTCGGGGACAACGAAATTACTTGACTGCTCCATAAAAACACTAATTAATCAATACAGTATAATACAGCAAGGAAGATTAGATGACTTTCAAAGTCATTCATGCTGAGTGATTGAGTCTAGGGAGTGATGGACCAGTTAGCTTATGTCTGAATTATGCACATGGAGCAGAACCACATCAATAAGCAGCTATAGTCAAAATCAGGCACCCCCAAACTCGACCCTTCAGTTGTTTTGGGGCTACAGTTCCCATCATCCCTGACCACTGGTCCTGTTAGCTAGGGATGGTGGGAGTTGTAGTCCCAAAACAGCTGGAGGGCCAGGTTTGGGGTTGCCTGGTGAAAATGATTTGTCTTATCCAGCCATGTGAACTGAGCCAGAGTGGCTGATCCACATTAAACATCAAAGCTTAAACCATCTCATCCACAAGCAGGTACCACCATGGACTATCTATCCTCTTTTTCCAGGACATGTTCTCTTTTTTCATGGGCAGAGTCATCATAGTGATTCATAGTTAAAAGTAAAACTCAGCAAATGTGTCCTCTTTTTTGCTCTTCAAAATATGGCAACCCTATGGGACCTTCAGGGAAATAAATTATTTTTGCAAAATAAAACACTGCCCGCTCAAGCAGATGAGTGTGCCAGCATAGATGAGAGAAAGTTTTATGTTTTGTTTGGGAAGGTAAAGCATTCATTAATTCCCATACCTAACACACACTAATTTATATTATCTCTCCCCCAGCTACACATCCATCCATATTCACACACCCCTCTCTCTCACACACACACCCCTGTCCTGAAATTATTGTAGCGGGGGGTGATCTTTTCAGAGAGCCTGTTACTAGAGTTAACATTCCCTCCAAAGCTACAAACTACACCAAGTTCCCTCCCATCACAAAATTCATATTGAGGAAAAAACACTCACAAGATTTTTTCCAAGCCTAATTGTGAAGTGAAAGGGCAAGAGAGAGTCATAGCACACAGGGAGAAGAGGGTTAATCCTTCCCTCTCCAATTGAAACTCCTCCCTCCCAAATGTCCTCTGTGCAGCAATTAAATTTGAAAGCATCCTTCCATTAGTTCAAGTGGAAGCGTATTTTCAAGTCTCATTGCCGCACAGGGGAAGAGGTGAGGAAAAGCAGGTTGTGGGCCACATAGGGAGACTAGTGGCTTCCCAAATAGCTTGATGCTAGAAATGTATACAATTATGCCTGGCATGGAGAAAGAAAGAATTCCCTCTCGTTCGTGATACTAAAACTCAGGTTCCTCCAATGAGGAAATTGCTTAGCAGCAATGGAGGTGGGTCAGTTGCAGTGTACAAGTGTTGCCCCTTGCAGAACTCATTGGGGAAGAGGAGAGGGGCTAAACTAGAACAAGTTCTCCCCTTCTCCAATTGGCTCTGGCTCCACCTACTATTGGTCTGACTGCCTTCCACCCCAATGGGCACCTGCCACCGTGGAGTAGCAGCAGATTCAGAAATGACTACTTATTCATGCAACACATGTTTAATTTATGGAACTCACTGCTGCGAACTGCTGACGATGGCAATTATGTTGTTGTTTAGTCATTTAGTCGTGTCTGACTCTTCGTGACCCCATGGACCAGAGCACGCCAGGCACTCCCGTCTTCCACGGCCTCCCGCAGTTTGGTCAAACTCATGCTGGTAGCTCCGAGAACACTGTCCAACCATCTCGTCCTCTGTTGTCCCCTTCTCCTTGTGCCCTCAATCTTTCCCAACATCAGGGTCTTTTCCAGGGAGTCTTCTCTTCTCATGTGGTGGCCTCAGCTTCATGATCTGTCCTTCCAGTGAGCACTCAGGGCTGATTTCCTTAAGAATGGATAGGCTTGATCTTCTTGCAGTCCATGGGACTCTCAAGAGTCTCCTCCAGCACCATAATTCAAAAGCATCAATTCTTCGGCGATCAGCCTTCTTTATGGTCCAGCTCTCACTTCCATACATTGCTACTGGGAAAACCATAGCTTTTACTATACGGGCCTTTGATGGCAAGGTGATGTCTCTGCTTTCTGCTTTTTTTCTGGCAATTATGTTAGATGCCTTTAAAAGTGGACTGGACAGATCCATGAAGAACATGTGCCTACCAGTAATGACAACTGTGTGGAACCTCAGGAACCTCAGCTGCTGGGGAGCACAGAAAGTCTGCTGTCCTCTTTTCTGGCTTCCCAAGAAATCTAGTTAGCCACTGTGGGTATTTTGGCCTGATCCAGCAGGACACTAGTTTAAGATATAAATGCATTTTGCTGCACAAGCTGCATGGCTGGTTTCTGGGCAACTGCTATAAATTAAGCAGGCAACTGCTTAAGGAGAGGGCTTCATGGTTATGGATTCCATGTGCTTAACATAGCTGGGGCGCACTGTGTCCAAAAACCCCTATGAGAGATAAAACATCTAGATACAGAATACCTCTCTCCCATGCACATACTTTTAGCCTATGAGTCATCAATTGCTCTAGCCTGATTTACAAGCCACAGAAGGCAAAGGCAGGAATAATACTATTAGAGGTATGGATTAGCTTGTTTGAACAGAAACGGCAATGTAATGGAAAATGCATTAAACATACAATTATATGAGATAATGGGTATTTATTTTTTTTAAGAAGTTCACGGATAGGTCAAGGAAGGAAACATTCCTTATATCCTGTAGGAGGAGTAGCATGGACATTCATTAGTTAGTGCTTACGAGGAAAGAGGCAAATTACGCTGACAGTAGGGAGTGTCTTGTTTCTGAAGAGCTTCAGTATGAAACAAAACATGCTGCTGAGCACTTGGCCAAAAAAATACAAATAAAAAAGCCAAGCACGCAGAATGCTAGACAGCCAATTAAACTTTTTTTTCAGAAAGCTAGTCACTTCTAAAACAATCAATCAGCAAGAAGCTGTTCTTACTTACAAGCAGTGCCAAAGCTGACTGGATCTGTAGATCCCTGGGATACAGATAATGAAAGCACATTCCCCTCCCCCATTTTTTTCCCACAGCAACTTTGTTACTTACAGAGCAATCCTAAATCCGGCAGCATGATGGCTAAGGGGCTGTTATGAGATCTATGAGTGCTGCTCTGCCACTGGAGAGGGAGACCTCTCTGGTACATTAGAGAAAACAGGGTGGGTGGCATCCAGCTAAACAGCCTTGCTAGTGCAAGCACTTTGGGCTGTGTATGGTATTTCCTTTCCCTCTCTTCTGTTTGTGTGCCCCCTAACTCTGTTTCAAACAGTTGGGGGGGGATCCAGACCGTATTTAATGGGCACACAACTTCAGGGTATTTGAATCTGAATGGTTCTCCTCCACAACATGGATCACTGCTCCCAATTAAGTCAGGCTCAACACCCACCTTCCATTCCATTACAAACTGCAGGCTTGGGTTTCTCAACAGGCCCTGCAATATATATTTTCTCTTTTCCCATAACCTTTGGATTTTAATTTTTGTTTTTGCTTACCGGATAAATTCAACTCTGCTCACTACTCTGATCTTTTAGGCAGTCCCAATAAAGGCACCATCTACTGTTGCTCTGATATGTGTTTTCCCTAATGAGCCAGTGTGATTTTTCTGCTCCTAACAGTATTAACTGTATCATGATTTATTATTATTATTATTATTATTATTATTATTATTATTATTTGGGTCTTTCAGCCCATCCTAACACCATTCAGATGCTGCTGAGCTAGGGTTAGTGGGATTTGTTGTTCAGGAACATCTGGTGAGCCAAAGGTTCCCCATTCCTGCTCTAGTCTTCCCTTCCCTTCTTTATCCTTTTATTTCCTGACAGCAGAATACCTCATTTTCTAAAAATATATTTACAGGAAAGGAAGACTGACCCAGAGATACTATATACTGGATTGCTTTTTATATAGATTGAAAAGGGTTGCATGGGAGAAGTAATGTGAGCATTCCAATTGTAAGCTAAAATCAAAGTACTAAAAGGCCAAGCTGCAGTTACAATTCATGCACCCAGTCTATAAAGGCAGGTTTCAAGGAGACTTTTGCAACAGTAGTCTGATTTTCAGAACCACTTCACTTGTTACAAAATACCTTTGACTCTGTAGGAAACAATGTGCAACTCGTGTTTAGATAATAATGTGCGATGGTCACACCCATTGTTGCTTTTCTTAAGAACACAGGGATCTTCCCTATACCAAGTCAGACCACTGGGTCCACTTAGCCCAGTATTGACCTTGTTTGCACATAACACTATGCCAAAGTTAACATTAACCACAGTTAAAACTGAGGCATCAAGTAGATGGTCACTTAAACTGTGGCTTATTACATTCCCTTTCCCCATTAAAGGAGATGCAAGCCAAGAAGAACCGCTCTTCACTCACAGCGCTAATGCTTTGGGGCAATGACAGCTCATTAACCATAGTTAAGAAGGAGGTCCAAGTTCACAAATAATGCTAAGCTATGTTGTTGTTTAGTCGTTTAGTCGTGTCCGACTCTTCGTGACCCCATGGACCAGAGCATGCCAGGCACTCCTGTCTTCCACTGCCTCCCGCAGTTTGGTCAGACTCATGTTGGTAGCTTCGAGAACACTGTCCAACCATCTCGTCCTCTGTTGTCCCCTTCTCCTTGTGCCCTCCATCTTTCCAAACATCAGGGTTTTTTCCAGGTAGTCTTCTCTTCTCATGAGGTGGCCAAAGTATTGGAGCCTCAGCTTCACGATCTGTCCTTCCAGTGAGCACTCAGGGCTGATTTCCTTAAGAATGGAGAGGTTTGATCTTCTTGCAGTCCATGGGACTCTCAAGAGTCTCCTCCAGCACCATAATTCAACAGCATCAATTCTTCGGCGATCAGCCTTCTTTATGGTCCAGCTCTCACTTCCATACATCACTACTTGGAAAACCATGGCTTTAACTATACGGACCTTTGTTGGCAAGGTGATGTCTCTGCTTTTTAAGATGCTGTCTAGATGCTATGCTATGGTGGATGTTAACTAATGTTTTGTGAGCCAGCCACAACATTTGGTTAATGAGTGAGCTTTGGTCATAGTTAATAAACCATAAACCATAGTTAACCATAGTTCACATTAATGCTAGCCCATCATTTAAGAAACCACATATTAATAAACCTCGGCTCAGCATTATGTGTGAACAAAACAATTCTCTATGTAGACCGGCAATAGCTCGCCAGGGGTTCAGAGATCTTGCCAGGGTTTCAGGGGTTCAACCTGGAATCTTCTTCATGCAAGGCAGACACTCTACCACTGAGTGGTGGCCCAAGCTATGGTCCAAAAATGTTTTCCCCACTTTTTGTGCAGAAACCAGAAAACTATTATTCCACTTTCGCTGCAAAGTCACTGGACACTTACAGTGAAGCAGTCCTTGCACTTGAACAGACGGACAGCAGACATGATAAAAATTCTTTTCTAAAAAGAAACACTGAGAAAAATCTGCAATTCATAATTCTGATTTTTGCTCTTTCCAAAATTCCCTGCGTTGCTCTGAAAGGGCACGTGTCTGTGGTCAAAAGCATATCTTATCAGAGGCTTATTTGTCCCTGCATGCTTCATTACATTCTCACAAAAGACCAACTTGCAAGCTGCAGGCAGTTTCAAAGAAACATGTTTCAAAAGGAAACTTGCAACAGGCTTGTATGAATCTTTTGTTTCCTGTGCCAAGATAACCTTTCCCCACAGCTTCCTATCTTTACAACAACTCTTCCTGCCCCCAGGCTCCCCATCTCAGGCTTTGTATCCTGGGACAAGAGGAACTGTTGCCTGCTTGGATGAGAAAGGTTCCTTTGCTTTTCCAAGAATGAAGACCATCTGTTTCTGGGAAAATGACAGGTTCCCCTTTTGGACCTCATTCTTGCACACTATCCTTAGAATCATAGAATGGTAGTGTTGGAAGGGACCCTGAGGACCATCTAGTCCATGGGGAGGCAAACTAAGGACCGGGGGCTGGATCCAGCCCAATCGCCTTCTAAATCCAGCCCACGGACGGTCTGGGAATCAGCGTGTTTTAACATGAGTAGAATGTGTCCTTTTATTTAAAATGCATCTCTGGGTTATTTGTGGGGCATAGGAATTCGTTCATTTTTTTCTTTTCCAAAATATAGTCCGGCCCCCCACAAGGTTTGAGGGACAGTGGACTGGCCCCATGCTGAAAAAGTTTGCTGACCCCTGATCTAGTCCAATCCCCCGTAATGCAGGAAAATGCAGCTGTGGGGCTCAAACCTGTAACCGTGTTATCAGCACCATGCTCTAACCAACTGAGCCATGCAATCCTTGCTCCAAAAGTACAATAATGGGGGCAGTTCCTTCCTAGGAACTCACTTAACAGCAATACTGCACTACAGAATCCATCTATGTGAACTAGTTTTTGGCATGTATTGATTCTGTAATATTGAAGCCTATTCCCGAGGCATATTTTCTTGATCTGCTACTGCATGTAGAAAATGACTAACATATCACTTTGAAGTTCTGAGAAATCTAAAGTGCGTGAGAACAAGTTTGGGTGTGATGGAAAGAAAAAGAAGCAAAAAACCACAGATTGGTGGCATCTAAAAATGTAAATACATTTGTTTCTCAGTTGGTAAGAAATTTATTACAGTGGTACCTCGCAAGACGAATGCCTCGCAAGACAAAAAACTCGCTAGACAAAAGGGTTTTTTGTTTTTTGAGCTGCTTCGCAAGACGATTTTCCCTATGGGCTTGCTTCGCAAGACGGAAACGTCTTGCAAGTTTGTTTCCTTTTTCTTAACACCGTTAATACAGTTGCGACTTGACTTCAAGGAGCAACTCATAGAACTCAGTGTGGTAGCCTTTTTTGAGGTTTTTAAAGACTTTGGTGATTTTTGAAGCTTTTCCAAAACTTTCCCGACACCGTGCTTCACAAGACGAAAAAAATCGCAAGACGACAAAACTCACGGAATGAATTAATTTCGTCTTGCGAGGCACCACTGTATTATTATTATTATTATTATTATTATTATTATTATTATACACTAGTGCTATGAGATTTCTGACAATCAGGTTTATGTTTTGGGGTTTTTTTAAAGGCACCATCATCTCGTTTTCAACTGGGAAATTGTGGAGGTTATGTAAAGTTTGCATAACAGTTAAGAAAGAAGGGATAATCTTTAAAGCGTATGGAAGAATGGACAGTGTCACTTGCTTTGGCGTTCACACAAAGGAAGAGAAAAAGGAGGTGGCACAATTGTAACATGAGAATCTCATGAAAAGTAAAGCTGATTAACATGAAGCAATCAAATACATTTCCACGAGTATAAAAGAAACTAAGGCAATCCTATATTCAGTGGCCTGGTAGCAAATCACATTGAACTAAACAACCCTTCCTTCTGAGCAAACATGGGTAGGATTGCACTGTAAATGACATTCAGCCATGCTACATTGACAACTATTTAAAGAACAAATAATTTTAAAAAGAAGGACCGATTAAGTGGAAACCCATGAAACAAGCTTTTGTTTTTTTAATCCTTTCTGCACCTACTTTGCTTTCCAACACATACCACTCTCTTTACACACAGACATCTCATACTCCCAACACTCAAACCTAAACTATTGTGCTTTTTAGTTAAATGTGCTTTTCCACCTAACTTGCAACATGTTGTTGTTGTTTTCATGCAACTTGCATTGCCAGTGTGCTTGTGTGAGATAACTGCAGGCAATCCTTCCTAGCCTGCTGAAGTCCTGATGAAAACTTCTGTTTTGAAGGTGCAGTTGGCATTGGAGGAGATCCTCCATTGGCATCTGTGTGGTGATTCTCCGTTCCTGCAAGCTAACAGCGCTTTCAGAGGATGGATTTTAATCAAGACTGAAAGAAGGCCAGAATAGTTTAAATTTCCCTTCTGTTCTTGCCCTGATACGAGCTGGTACAATATTCATTTTTTAAAAACCCTGCCTGATAAGTAGCTGAAATGTTCAAGTCAAGGGTGAAATCCAACAGTGTACCATAGCCTTTAGGATTGGGAACTGGGGTGGGAGTAAGAGCTTCTCACTGTGCTCAATCTATACCTGCAGTTGGAAGTTCTGCCTTTCTCCTGTAACATGCAAGCATGGTTTAAGTGGTGGACTTAGAGCGTGCCTACAGTGGTACCTCGGGTTACAGAAGCTTCAGGTTACAGACACCTCAGGTTACAGACTCTGCTAACCCAGAAATAGTACCTCGGGTTAAGAACTTTGTGTCAGGATGAGAACAGAAATTGTGTGGCGGCAGCAGCAGCAGGAGGCCCCATTTGCTAAAGTGGTGCTTCAGCTTAAGAACAGTTTCAGGTTAAGAACGGACCTCCAGAACACATTAAGTTCTTAACCCGAGGTACCCCTGTATTTCTTTCTTCAAATCACCTTCCATAAAAACACAAGAACAGTCTGTTGGATCAGGTCAATGGTCCACCTAGTCCAGCATCCTGTTCTCACAGTGGCCAACCAAATGCCTGCAGGAAATCAGGGATCAGAACATGAGCTTGAGAGCCCTCTTGCCTCTCATGGTTTCCAGCAGCTAGCATTCAGAAGCACTGCTGCCTCCAAATGAGGAGGCAGAGCATCAGTACCATGGCTAGTAGCCATCCATAGCCTTCTTCTCCTCCTCCATGAATTCATCTGATTCTCTTTTAAAGCCATCCAAGTTGGTTGCCATCACTGCCTCCTGGGGGAGCACGTTCCTTAGTCTGACTATCCACTGCAGGAAGAAGTACCGTATTTTTTGCTCTATAAGACTCACTTTTTCCCTCCTAAAAAGTAAGGGGAAATGTGTGTGCGTCTTATGAAGTGAATGCAGGCTGCGCAGCTATCCCAGAAGCCAGAACAGCAAGAGGGATTGCTGCTTTTGCTGCGCAGCGATCCCTCTTGTTGTTCTGGCTTCTGAGATTCAGAATATTTTTTCTTCTTGTTTTCCTCCTCCAAAACCTAGGTGCGTCTTATAGAGCGAAAAATACAGTGCTTTCTTTTATCTGCCCTAAATCTTCCAACATCCAGCTTGACTGGATGTCCCCGAGTTCTATCCACTTTCTCCATGCCATGCATAATTTTATAATCTTCTATCATGCCGCCTCTTGTTTGCCTTTTCTCAAAATTAAAAAGTTCCAAAGGCTGCAACCTTTCCTCATAGGGAAGTCGCTCCATCCCCTTGATCACTTTCTTGGCCCTTTTCTGAACCTTTTCCAACTCTACAATATCCTGTTTGAGGTGAGGCGACCACAACAGTATAAAGTACAGTCGTACCTTGGTTCGACTGGAACTAAGAAACAGCTTAGTTCTTGAACGTTTTGGCTCCCAAACGCCGCAAACCCAGAAGTGACTGTTCCGGTTTGTGAACTATTTTTGAAAGCCGAACGTCCAACGGGGCTTCTGCGGCTTCTGATTGGCTGCAGGAGTTTCCTGCAGTCAATCAGAAGCCGTGCTTTGGTTTCCGAACATTTTGGAAGTCGAACGGACGTCTGGAATTGATACCGTTCAACTTCCAAGGTACGACTGTACTCTTAATTGTGGTCACACCATAGATTTGTCTAACAGCATTATGGTAATATCGTACGTAGCATGTCTTCCTTTCATCTATATAACCCTGAAGTTTTGCACCATATACAAAGTAACTAAGCTTAGTCATATGTTTGTCTCAAATCCACCAGCTATAACCACATCCTGCTTCTTAACTGTAGTTCAGTTCAATTATAAAAGGCTTCTAAAATTTTTAATACAAAAAAATAACAAGAAGAAAGTGATTTTCATGTTATGCTTGCATAAACATGGGTTCCTGCGCTATAAAGAAATGGGAGAAATGTCTCACCTTTAAAATGGATATCATGCCATGCTAAATTAAATATGCTTTTAAGACCACTGATTTCAATGAAATTAAGCACACTGTAGTCTATGTTTCAATTATAACATATCTCCAGCTGACACCAGTTTCAACAGTGTCACTTTACATGCTCAGGCATATAACCTACTAGCATTACCTCTTTAGGATTATAGCTCAGTAACACAGGAAGGTATCTTTTTTATTTTTAAGAAATGCTCTCTCTACTGAGCATCTAGTTTTTCTGGAAAAGCTTGGTTTAAAAAATAAATAAAAGCTAAAATTCCAATGTAATCGTAAGACTCTGAGAGCTGAAAGGCTAAGGAAAACATCAAAAGGTCACAAGACATGGAATACCATCACGAGATAAGTCACACAGTCCATTTTATTTTCCAGCATAGCCTTGCAGCCTTGGGAAATTCAAAGCCTGCAGTCCTGCGGAAGCATGAGAGCCCCGTAAAGAAAAATAAACAGGGGCAAGTGAACAGCAGCATGTCACAGGTATCAGGTTTCCTAACAACTGTGAGTCAACAATAAGGTGGAAGAGAAAGGAAGGGCTCTATTCATTCATCCATCTCAATAATGAGCCCTACCTCTCTATGTCGTACAGAAAGGACTCATAAGAACATGCTAGCCATAACAGCTATGCTCTGCCTCCACAGCTGGAAGTAGCAATACTTCTCAATACCAGTTGCTGGAAACCATAGGAAGGAGAGCGCTCTTGTGCTCATATCCTGCCTGCTAGTTTCCCACAGACATCTGATCATCCACTGTGAGAATTGGATGCTGGACTAGATGGGCCACTGGCCTGTTCCATTAGGCTCTGCTGGAAGAAAAATTTGCTGAATCAGGCCAATAGCCCATCTAATTTAGCATCCTGTTCTCACAGTGGCCAACCAGATGCCTGTGGGAAACTGGCAAGCAGGACATGAGCACGACAGCACATGCCATTACCAGCAGCTGGTTTCCTGAAGCCTATTGCCTCTGACTCAGGAAGTAGAACATAGCCATCTAGGTTAGTAGACATGGATATTCTTATCCTCCATGAGGTCTCACAACCCTGCCCCTTCACACCACTGGCATGCCAGTTTACAGCTAATAACTATCTCCCACAATACTGCTCTTTAACTTGAATGGACCAGCTTAGAAAGCCTGACTCAAGAGTATAAGCACTTCCAGTCTTCATAAGGCATCTTCAAACTTTTTAGACCCAAAACCCATGTTTAACTCAAACATGCATTGGCAGACCCATTTCTCAATCTTTTACTACATCTTCACATGATGGTAGTGCTCCTGCTGCGACCCACCCTGGGTCATGCCACAACCCACTGATGTGTCCCCACACACCACTTGAGAACCAGTACCATAAGGCATATTAATGGGAAAGACTTCAAATAATTAATTCTTGGACCAGCAGCTTTATGAAACATTTCTAGTTGCTGTTACACCTCATTCTCATAACTGCTTGCCTCTTATCAAAAGGCAATTACTCCACAAACTGCAGGAGGTAAGCTTCCCCAACAGTTAGCAGATGCCTGCCCCACTGCCCTTCTTTGAGGCTGTACAGGCAACTCTCAGCGTACAAGGGGATTATATTCTGGGGATAGCAGATAAAGCCAAAATAATGTATAGTCAAAATGCATTAGGTTCCATGATGGGTGGAATTGCTAAAGTCTTTTTTCACAGATGCCTCACCCCTTTGATAGAAAAAATAATTGCCAAGCACATAAAGCTGAACGTCCACAAGTTAAATGCAAGTTACTTGAATATTGCATCTCAGAATACTGAGGGGACCACTTTCCGTGATGCTGGCCGGCTTCCCATTGGCTGCAGGAAGCTCCTGCAGCCAATGGGAAACTGCGCACACCTCCTCCGCGTCAGAAATAGCGTTTGCACGTGCATGCGCACACACGCACTCCGGCCCACAGAGGCGTCTGCGGGACCATAAACTGGCCCAAGCCACAAAAACTTTGCTGACCCCTGAGAAAGATTATTTGTGTGTGAGGGGAGCTAACTGGTTAGCAGATACTTCTTACTGGATTAACCTTTAGTGCTGAAAGACAAGGAAAGTTTCTGGATCTGCAGCCAGTGTTAGAGACTGAGATATGAAAGCTAGGAGCTAAACGGCACCTTAAACCTAGGTTATGGGCACAACAACGGAATGTCTAGGCACATTTTTTAAAAACAAGAATACAGAGATGAAAATGAATGAACTGCAGCTAAAATATTATGTTCATCTTTCACATGGTCTAGTCCTTACCCTGCCCAGCCCCCTAATATCCTTAGGAGGGTCTCTTCTCCAGTCTTCAGAGAGTAGCTGGAAGTGGGGAAGCAAAAAAGTCCTCTTTTCCTTCCACTCTGAGTTTTAATTAGAAACCTTAGGTGCAGGACTGCTCCCATAGGTCAAAAACTGCTTGCGCTTATGAAATGTCCTGTCGCAAAATGCGCCTAGAACAATGGGAATTTCGAACACTGTCTGCAGCTTGAAAATCTGCTACCTTTTCAGCTCTGAAAATACTTTTTTTTTTACCGGTTCTGCAGTCCTATTGCAGTCCATTGATGTACATCAGAGAAGGGTGAGTTAATGTGATGATTCCCACACTGCACACACAGTGTTAAGGACCCACCCTACCAATGTGAGAGCCCCAATTTTGAATTTGTTCTTACTAATTTTGAAGGTACATCAGGTTTAAGGACTTGTTTGTTTTGTTCTGTTCCTTCTACTCTTTTATTCTCTTTCAGAGAAATCAAAGATATATAAATTGTTAAAATAAATAAATGCTAGTAGGGTTAAGAGTGAGGCTTGCAAAGGCAGAACCAAGGGAAAGCTAGGATCCAGTGGGAGGCAACTGATTAAGAAGGGGGGGGGACCCTGCAAAAGGACACAGTTCACTCCTCTGCCCTCATTTCTCATCTAACTGCCTTCAGCTCCCACTCACTAATGCCTTAGGATTACATCCTTAAATCTCTCATTGGCTTCAGCCAGCATGCCAAACTCTCCATACCACTATACGTCAGGCAGGGGATACAAATCCATAAATGTCAGCTTGTATAGCACATGAACTTCCTTTCCAAAAGAACAAACAGCTCTTTGTAATCAGAGGTTGTCTACTATACAAAGCTTTCCTTTGCACTAAGGACAGGACTGCGTATGCTGAAGAAATGAAGAGAATTAAGCGAAAGAACCAAATTCTATGTCCTTGGATAGATTGTCTGAACTTGCATAATTCTCCTGCTTCTAATAGATATCAGTGAAGGAAAGTGGGGGTGTTGGAAACTAAAGCTTTAGATCCTGGGTGCAGAAAATTCTACTAAAAGTAAAATCCTATATATGTTTACTCAACAAGGTCTCTACAGTTTTCAGCCAAGCCCCTGGCTGACTACTGACTACTACAGACACTGCCTAGTGTGCACACTTGTGACCTGCATCTTTGTTACATACATAAGGTCTGGAAACTTGCTTTTTTAAGAAGGGCAAGGAGGAGGATCTCAAATGCTGAGTATACAGGTAACCAACCATGAGCTTTTGTGGATCTAGGGCTCCTAGTAGACCACTAGCTTAATATGAGTCAACAGTGTGATGCAGCAGCAAAAAAAGGTCATGCTATTCTAGGCTGCATCAACAGACGTATAGATAGTGTCTAGATCAAGGGAAGTAATAATACCACTCTATTCTGCCTTGCTCAGACCATACCTGAAGTACTGTGTCCAGTTCTGGACACCACAATTTAAGAAGGATATTGTGCAGATGAATAATAATAATTTATTATTTGTACCCCGCCCATCTGACTGCGTTTCCCCAGCCACTGTAGGCGGCTTCCAACAAAGATTAAAAATACATTAAAATGTCACACATTAAAAACTTCCCTAAACAGGGCTGCCTTCAGAAGGTGACCAAGATGATAAAGGGCCTGGGAACCAAATGTTATAAGGGTTTGAGGTAACTGGGTATATTTAGCTTGGAGAAGACTAAGAGGATATATGATAGCCATCTTCAAATATCTGAAGGGCTGTCACATGGAAGGTGGAGCAAGCTTGTTTTCTCTTGCTCCAAAGTGTAGGACCTGCACCAATGAATTCAAGTTACATGAAAGGAGGAGATTCTGACTAAACACCAGAAAGAACTTCCTGAAAGTAAGAGCAGTTTGATGGTGGAACAGACTCCCTCATGAGGTTGTGGACTCTGCTTCCTCGGAGGCTTTTAAGCGGAGATCGGAAGGCCATCTGTCATGGACGCTTTAGTTGAGATTCTTGCATTGCAGGGATTTGGACTAAATGACCCTTGGAGTCCCTTCCAACTTTACAGTTCTACAATTCTATTATTCATACTGTCTCTACAACAGTTTCATTTAGTGTGCCTCTCCCTCTGACTTTCTACTGTCTATTTTTGTCCTGTTTCAGCCGTTTCAGTATTTGACTCACTACTCTGCTCACACATTTAACTTTCTGCTTCCTTCTGCTTCCTGATAAAGATCTAAATAGGACTGTGTGCCTTCCAGTGTTTGCTTTAGAAGATTTATATGCCCCTGCCTTTTAAATCCAAGAGCAGCGTCTCATTGTATAATAAAATAATACTGTGATTATAAAAATGCAAACACCATAAATCATTAAAACATCTAAACCCATAGCTATCTAACAGCAGTAAAAGGACTTTGTGTTATACAAGGACACAAGAAAGAAATGGTTGCTAAGTTATGGGTTGACATGGACACACCTGCAATGCAGCCTTGACCAAAATAAGCAACAATTCCTTACCATCTATCAGCTTACCAGAGCCATTACTCAATCTGCCCATGCAACCTCATGTGGTTGGTGGGCTAATAATTTTTTAGGCATTTGCAAAGCACTGCCAACATTACAATGAGCGGCAATGGGACAGATAACTTCCTACAACTCACAAGGGTACTTTATTAGACAGTTGCAATTTCAAAGGAAGAAATGGCTGGAGGCAACTGGCAGAGGGGGGACAGAGGCAAAAGGTAAGGGTTGAGACCTTTCTCAGCAGTTTAACAGCCATGCCTGTTCTTGGTGTTCCAAGGAGTTGCTCATACAGGGGTTTTTGCTGGACAAGTATCTACTGGACAATCTACCACTGAGCTCCCCACCAGGTTAAGTAGTGGAGGAATGAGGTTCCTGGCTCAGACCAGATTACATATGGACTACTCCACTGCCTGCACAGGTTACAGTAGCCTGCACTGCACTGTTACTTTGTTGAGCTAATCAGTGCTCTTCGGAGTAAAATTGTGCCACTACATGCTACTATTCTCTCATTCAGGGTGAGGTCAAGTGCTGTAGAGAGGAAAGCAAAAACTCTCTTGAAGAAAGTTTGAGTCCCATTCCTGAACAAGTTCTTCTCCGGCCACCAACTCAAAGCCATGCTCTCCAAATTGCTTTCCTCCCTGCAGGGAGAAAGATGCTCCCCCACATAGGTTAAAAACAAGCAGCTTGGGGAGGGGAGTGATTTTGAGATGCAAAGCAACCATGGAACCAAGAATTAAGTAGCCTCTCCCTTCCTGCTTTTCTTCCAGTTAAGATTTGTAGCCTACGTAGGATCCTTTTGGTTTAAAAAAAATGCAGAGAAAAGGAGCATGGAACTCCTTCAATGTCTAGATCAGTGCTTAAGTGGATTACAGGGAAAAGGCACTCTGAACACATGCTAGTATGCATGGTATATAAGGTATGTTCCCAAGCCTGCATTTTCAGAGTGACTAGTGCACACTCAAAGCCATCTTTTCCACACCTCTGAACTCCCCAAAGATTGGCTCTTTTCTGTTCCTGAACAGACCAAGACTATAGGATGTCCCTATTTTCATTGGAGAAATGTGGGAGGGAACGTCCCTATTTTCATTGGAGAAATGTTAGAGGGTATGCTTTCAGGGCTGCTCTGCATAATGCTTGACAAGGAAATTGAGAATAACCACTGGATAATGCATTCCAGGCCTTGATTCCAAACTCTGCCTGGGACAACATTTAGTCTTCGCATAATGTTGAAAAAGTTGGAGGTGTGCCTTTTACTCAAGCTGTGATAAGCATCAACAGCTTTACATCAGTTTAGTGTATTTTCCCCTCAATGAAAGTTACAGATGTTGCCCTAAGGCTATGTATTCATAGTGCATGATGTCACAGTAAGCAAGTTAAGCACTATTAACTTGAGTAGGAGTGGGAAAGCTGGTTATTTATCCCTTGTACTTCTGAAAAACTTCTTGAGCAAAAGTATGTCCAGCCTCAGTGCTATGTGTGCACTTCAGTGTTCCTAAAATGTGGGCTGAGGTCTGTCCTCAAGCCAAAATTTTAAAATAAAAGCTTTTAAATATAAAATTGTATAGAAAACATGCAACAATTATTCATTTCCCCAGAAGTATATTCAATCATTTCTCCCAGAAGTGGCTTGAGGGGAAGAATAAATCTTTATTTATAAAAAGTGTATTTATAAAATTAATTTTGACAGGATATTTTTAACCTGTTGCTGTTCATAACTTAGCACCTAAAATTAGTGTTTGAGGGCATGGATAATTTTTTGCAGATTAGTTCCAAATACAGGGTTTATACCAGTGCTCAAAATTCCCCTGACACCAGGTGAATTTGCAACTAGCGTGGGTCCAATTGCAACCATGTAGAGATCACTGAATGCCAGGTTGATGACTGACATCGCCATCTGGCTCGCCCCTCCAGTTTTCTTAATAAAGTAAGCAGAAGAGCTTAGTTATTGCGTTTATATCCCATCTTTTTCTCCAAGGAGTACATGGTTCCCCCTCCCCGCAGTTAATCCGTACAATGACCCTGTGAGGTAGATTAAGAGGCTGTGACTGGCCCAAGGCCACCCAGTGAGCTTCATGGCTTGAGTGGGGATTTGAACCCTGTTATCTCACATGTCCTATGGGGAAGCTATATAAATTAAGTAAGAAATAGGGGAAAGCTTGAATTTGTTTTATTTGATGTGTTGTAAACCACCTTGAGATTTTTTATTTAAAATATAAAGTGGCATAGAAATCAAATAAATACGAATAATAACAACAGTAAATCTCATTGGGAAAAGGGTGCCTACACATTGCATTGTCTGTAAACTAGGTTTAAGCTGTCATTTGGTGATTAGTTTATATATCTGAGTTTGTAACACTGGTTTATACTCTTCTAACATGGATTAGAATTGCAAATGTACGTTTAATTCCCCCTCCCCCACTTAAATTTTAGATCTTCAAAAGGAAGGAGGAGGCATTCTGCACAACACTGCTGCAGAGATGCACTTCAGCTTAATCACTCTCCCTACAAAATCCTGGCTGAAATGTTCTAAGACAGTGATATCCAACAGGTAGATTGCAATCTGCTCAACAATGATTGCTTCATAAAAAAAGTTCAACAACCTTGGTAGATCACTGCCAGTTTTTTCATAGTGTGAGTAGATCTCAGTCTCTTGAAAGTTGGACATGCCTGTTCTAAGAGGAAGCCCATATCCAAAAGTAAATGACAACAAATCATATGCAGAGGAGAAGGGAATATTACAAACCCCAAAACACGGCTAAGCATGCTAAGAGGTAACACATCTCCAAGGGATGTGGGAAAATTATATAAAAGCAAATCAAGTGCACTGGAGAATTACATTACAAATCCATCTGTTTTAAATGGGACTTCTAATCAAATCAGCTTTATCTTCTCGTTTCTTCCCCAATAGCCTAAAAATAAAACAGGCTGTCAGTTTTTCTAAAAACAGACATGGATCTCTAGCTGGGGATTTCCCCAAGGAATGGTCCAAGAACCACAGAATCAACCTTAGAACGACAACAAAATATTTTCCATCGTTCTGTAGCCCGTGTTTCGTTGCCTTTCCAATAAATTTCCTTCATGTGCAAAAACTAAAACCTAAAATAAAAATGGGACGCATCCAGAGAGAAAAGTCTTTAGAAGCAAACTGTGATGAACATGTAAAGCAAGCATGTTTGAGCAACTTTGTTCAGTTTGCCTAGTTTGCATTGCAATCTGACAGACATTTCTTAGTAGTAAGTCCCATTAAAATCAGTGGGACTTGGAAGTAAATATGTTCAGGGGTGGACTACACAGTCTATAAATAGGTCTAATGATTACCGTGCAGCAAGCAACAAAGGGAAGCCACAGCTTGAAACAGTAAGCAACAATTTTGACAACCAAATAACTATTTCTCTCATGCCCGTTTACAGTGGCCAAATTTCACTCTGTCCTGTAGAGATTCTTAAACACATGCACTTACAGAATCTGCTATTCCAGATTCCAGAACCTTTAATTCATCCATGTTGGTCTGATCCACTTACCTAGGCTGCATTTACATACAAGTCTATTCCATTTTCACAATGTTCCCCTAACTGTCATTTTTGCACATTCTATTTGAACTTCCACCCTTCCGGAAACACAGCAGAATATAGCACCCATTTCTGTATTATTTGCAAATGAAGTCTAGAAGGAAATAACACGGAAATGAGAGCTAAACTTGTGCTATATTCTGCTACATTTCCAGAATTGGCTTCTATGACACCTAAAAGTTAAAATACAATGCTGAAATTAGCATTTAAGGGACAGTTGGGATAATGGAATTAACTGCTGTGTGAATACAGCTTCAAAATGATTTCCATTTAGCTTTCAAGCAAATGGACCAGAGATGAGTACATACGGATGATGTGTAATGTTTAGTGGATTTAAGCCTGATGATTTCAGTGGATCTAGTCTTGTGTATATATTAGTTGGATATCATCCAAGTATATTTATGATTGATATTGGTTGTAAAACATAAAGGCAATTAACATCACTAGGGCCAAAGTCTTGACCTTAATAAAATTCAGAATTTCAGCTTTCGGGAAGTCTGGATTTGTGGAAAGACAAATGTTTGTGGAGACTGGGAATGGTTTTGTTAAACCTTTCAGCTGCAAGCTGTAAAACCAACACATAATAGGCGCAAGGTCCTTGGGGGAAAAGTCACAAGAGGTGAAGGCTGTTCTTGTTTAAACTTGCCTAACTTTCACCGCGGAAAAAATCAAAGGGCCCAGACATCTCTTTAAACTGTTTGCGCAGACTCACCTCACCAGGACCAAAACCGAATAAATGTTTTTAAGAGCGTAGGAAGAAAAGTGAGACAGAGAAAATTATAAGCCACAACGATTGAGGGGGCGGGCTAGGGAGGGAGGGAAGGGAAGACTGGGCCACCACTGCCTGTCTGCATTTAACCTTTTCAAGGAGCGATGCTGCTGCAGCCGCTCTCTACCACGTCGGCCCTTTTCGGCTGCTTGCTAACAGCACCGAGAGGCAGGAAGTCACGCCTCTCTCAGCAGATCTCGTTTCACTCCGAGGCCTTAAACTTTTCCCCTTTTTTCCTGGAAGCACGGGAGGCAGGAGGGACAGGGAGGCATGGAAAGCGGGAAAGGTTTCCCCTCCGGCTTTGAAAAAAGCACGAGGAGAGAAGCCCCGAGATCTGTGATCACTACAGGATTCCTCCCCAGGAAAGCGCGGGCTGCGTCTCTCGCCGACGCGAGGGGAAGTTTGAAAGGAAGAAAGCGCTCTCTCCGTCTGCCTCGCTCCCAAACTTCACGCCACATTGGGAAGGGGGAGGTCGGGGAGAGACAAAGGCAGGACCCCGAAACCTGCGCGGATGCCGGGGGGGGGCACTTTTCTCTCGCGTCCTACAAAGTTTGAAACCGATTCGCCAAGCTCCTCTCGAAACCCGCCGCGCCTCGCGCAGCCACGCGCTGCCTCGCTCCAAGCCTGAGGTGGGAAGGCTGTTCAAGGCTTGCAGGACCTACCCGCTTTCCCTTTGCCTTCGTACGCAGAGATCCCCCCCCCCCCCAGCTACATCCAGGTGGGAAAGAAATAACCCGCTTCACGTGAGCCTAGGGATTTGCGCGGAGTGTCAGCCTTGGTACCCGCAATCCTTCCGCACAAAGCGTCGCATCCCACCCGCCCCCATTTCTGCAATAGACTGAAGCGCAGAGAGAAGGGTCGCCTCGCAAGCGACCTCGTTCAACTCGCCCAGGCCGGCCCCTTCCCTCTCCGCTGGCCCAAGAGGCAAGTCCTCCCTCAGATCTGGGTGGGGAAGGCGCCAGCGTCCTAACAGCCAGGCAGCTGGAGATCTTTGCAGCACCGTCAGGCGGCCCCTCCTCTCCACAGACGTTCGCTTCTCCTTACCGCGCCCGGCGCGCTGCTGCTCTTTCGCTAACCTCCAGCGTGACTGGAGCCGCTTGCGCTGCAGCGCCGGGGCTTTCCCGCCTTGGGCTCCCAGCAGCCTGTGCTTCCCGGCGGCGGCTCCTTGCTGCCTCACTCTTCGGCCCTCCCGTCGCTCCGGCGGGTCTTCAGCGCTAAGGGACGGAGCCTCATCTGGGCAGGAGGCCGTGGCGGAGAGAGGGAGGAGAGAGACGGACGGACGGACAGAGCCTGGCGCTAAGACGGCGCTGCGCCGCGCCTCGGCTGCGAGCAAGAAGTCCGAGAAGGCGAGGGAGTCCGCGGCAGGAGGAGAAGGAGGCTCCGCCCGCTGCAGCCGCCGCCAACGGCCTGCCCACTCGAGGAGAGGGAAGCCCTCCAGGTCGCGGGGCGAGCCCGGCCCCTCCTCCGCGCACAAGGAAAAGTTCAGAGGCAGGCGAGGAGACGGGGCAGCTGGACGAGTCCGCTGCGCTAGGGGACGCCGCCCGAGCGAGGTCTCGGAAGGCTTTCGCCTGCCACAAGCCAGCCCCCAATATTGCTGAGTATTGGAGGGGGGCCTTGCAGGCCTGGGTGAGCCGGGCTGAGCCTCCCCACCTTGAAGACTCCCAGGAAGGGAAACCTCCTGCGCCAGCCTGGTGACTTTATTCGAAGGTTAAAAGGTTAGGGCGCTTTGGGCCGGGAGGACACATTCGCTTAAAGAGGAAGTGGACTCCTAGGGGCCGAGGTCCCTTCGCCCACCCCTACCCCAGTGAAATATTTGAGGCGTCCGCCCCCAAAGTTGCTGGCTTTGCCATTCAAATAGTGTCCGTGCATCGCCTCATGTGATTGATTATGCAGAGTAGGGCTTACCCGCCTCCCCCATTTTATTCAGGTTGGCACCCCTGATGGGTGGTGTTTTGTTTTTGCTCTTAGCAGACCTCTTGACATTTAATGCACCTAAGGCAGCACGTTCTTTCATTAATTTCAGTGTTTCTGCTTGGGAGTGAACACCTAAGGCCCTCTTTCCTGTGTTGGTAATGTGGTTTGCCTGTTTGCTTGCAGCTCTTTCACACGTGTTTTCTGCATGGGGTGCTTCCCACAAGGCAGGAGGAGCTGCTGCTGCTGCTGCTGCTGTTGTTGTGAGGATAGCCCAGAGTTTCCATCTCCTGTTTGGCTTCTGGGAAAGGGGGAAACCAGCACATTGGGAAGAAGTGGATTCTAGACTGGAAGCGAAACATTTCTCTCTTTTTTTTTTACACCGGAGTCCAAACTCCAGCTTCCCTCTCTGTTTGACCTCTCTCTGAGGGAGAACAGAATGGGAGGTAAACAGCACAGTCAAATATACTTAGAAGTTCTTTTCCATAGGACTTACTCTCAGGTAAAGGCTGTCTGAGGCGGCGATGCTGTACAAACTTACTAGGAAATAAGCCCCACTGGACACTGTCTTATTTCTGCATGAATATGTGGAAGCTTGCACTGAAAGTGTAAAGATTTCTTGAAATGGGGGGGGGGGACCTGTGCCATGAATGTAGCGTGAGACTGGCAATTCAGTCGCCATCTTTTGAGTTACATGTAAATGGTGCGCCATCTGAATTAAAACCTAGGACAAACCTGTCTGAAAGACAAACAGGGTGATGAAGATGGCACTCCTAATTTCTGTCAAGCACAGGAGTCCCTTAGGCACATAGCCAGGATTTTTGTTGGGGGGTGCACTACCAACATGATTGGTCAGTCAGTTAAGTACTTCTTTCGTTTTAGTTGATGGGGAGGGCAGCGTATGAGAGTCCACTATTGCCTGCATAACTTAAGTTTACTGTACTGTTTGCCAAAAAGCATTATTTGCCCTGTTCTTGCAGAAGCTCTTCTGACAGAACCAGAGGTCTTTCCTTCTTTCCTTCCTTCCTTCCTGCATTCTCAAAAGTGGGCTTGTGGTAAAGCAATCTGATATTCTTAGAAAACACCCAAACTGAGGGTCTGGTTCAGCCCCTCCCATAAGCCTTTTCTTTTTCTTTTTTATTCCCCAAGATTTTACCAGTTTGGCAGTGGTGGCATCCACGAAGATTAATAAATAAATAAAGCGGGCACAGAGTGCTTTAGGGATGCAAATTGCCCCCTCTCCAGTCATCAGATCAATGATTTGATAAGCGGGGAGGGGTGATAATTCCAACCTCAGTTGATATGCTGAGGGGGAGGTTTCTGTCCTGTGACTGTGACAATGTGTGAGAGTAATCCTGCAGGAAAATTATTACAGTATTTACTTCACTGGGTGGGAGCTAATAAGTTGTAAGCTGCTACAATGATTTAATGTTTCTGAGGGCCACCACTACCCATAAAAAAAGGAAAGATGTCTACATTTCTGACACAAGTTAACTTTGTATTTTCTGTAAAGGGCATGCGAAACAAAAGTCTCCCTGCCCACAAAGCCCCCATTAGTTGAAACTCCAATATGTTTGTTTCCCACTATGATTTTCGTCATGTAAAGGCCATTCAACACCTACAGAAAACTTATGATCAATGCATGTTGGGTCGACCGAAAAGCCAAGATTAGAATCCATGAGCTATATATTATCATACCTTCAACTCAGGAGCTGAACCATTGCAGAAAGAATCACCCCTTTCCCCAAGGTAAAGAAAAGACACTTTGGACATGCTGCCTTTTACTCTTGGCTTGTGCAATTCAAAGCAAAACCGCAGAATGCTGTCCTGTGCATCATGAAACACTGGTATTACATTACAAGATGACATATTTACCAGAGAATCTGCACTAGTTTTGCTAGGTTTGTGTCAACACACTTTGAAAAATAGTCTCGAAACTCCAAATAAGAGGAACTTGAGTGACACATCAGTATCTGAGAGAAATCTTAAGTGTGTACTTTTCCATGAATTATTTTTGGCTGCATCATAGATCTATGTTTCACTGTACTTTGCCATTATAACGAGGAGTTGCAGGCTAGTATTACCTTTACTTTCAGTTTAGGATCAAACCTGTTTCCACTCTCAGAATCATAGAACCGTAGTGTTGGAAGCGACCCTGAGGACCATCTAGTTCATGGGTAGACAAACTAAGGCCTGGGGGCTGGATCCGGCCCAATCACCTTCTTAATCCGGCCTGCGAACAGTCCGGGAATCAGCGTGTTTTTACATGAGTAGAATGTGTCCTTTTATTTAAAATGCATCTCTGGGTTATTTGTGGGGCACAGGAATTTGTTCATCCCCCCCCCCAAAAAAATATAGTCCAGCCCCCCACAAGGTCTGAGGGACAGTGGACTGGCCCCCTGCTGAAAAAGTTTGCTGACCCCTGTCCAACACCCTGCAAATAACTGCAATGCTTCTCATAGCGAGCAGATTAAATAAGATTGCTCATAGCTTTAATCATAATGGGCAGATTAAATGTGATTGTCAGAAATGTGACACATCCTATTTCCAAGATTTTGATATATTGTGTATTCTCTTTTATATAACACTACCACTTCAGCCTGAAAGTCTGCCTTCTAGTTCCCTGATTTTACCTTATTGGAACTGGAAGCAAGAGAAATTGTTCCCCAAGGCAAATAAAGCAAGTCAGCCTAATGTCAACACTGCTGATTGGCTAGGCACCAGTGCTGCCTGAATATAGGTACCTAGCCTTCAACATGTTTTGGGTTCAATTCCCATCAGTCATGGCTAGCATTTCCAGTGTTCAATTCTGTGATTTACCCTACATGATTTGGGACTGCATTATCTGAAAGAGCACATTCTCCCCTATGAGCCTGTCTAATTTTAAGGGAGAGGCCCTTTTCTCTGAGCTGCCAACATTTGAAGAACATTGGGCAGGAACTTGAGGGAGGGCCTTCTCAGTGGCTGCCCCTGTTCTGTGGAACTCCTTGCCAAAGAAGACCTGGCTAGATCCTTCTCTGATAAACCTCCACAAGAAGGCAAATATAAGTCATAAGCTGACTTATAAATATGTCATAATTGGTTTTGTAGTTTTTATTGCTCTTTTAGCTACCTTGGGGGAGTGTTTTTGGTTTTTTAAAATGTATTTTCTTCCTGTTTTATCCTATTTTCTTATATTTTATTGTATTTGCATTATAGTTGTTTGCCACCTTGAGCTTCATTTGGTAGAAAAGCCAAGATACAAATAATTTTGCATACGACCTTTCTATATACATAAAAATGTAAGGTTTTCAATGTGCAGCCCACATTGGAGGATTTACAGTGCTGTATCACAGTCTTGGATTCACCTGAAGTCAGGGAAGGGGGGCTTAAGATAAAACGCTAGCAGAGGTTTGAATAAAGCAGGTATGGGGAGCTGGGGGGAGAGGGGGGGAGATTCCCCTTCACTTCACTGGCCATTTTATCAAAATGTTCCTTCTATTATTTCCTCTTTTTTTCATACATAACCAGCTTACTTTAAAAAAGTTTCCAAAGTATTTGAAAACCGTGATTTTTGAGAATAAATATGACTTTACACAATTTATTCTGGTCACCCAAATCTGCGTTTTCAGATCTGGAATCTGATGATTTGATCTAAAAGTATCTCCAAACTATTGTTTCGTATTATGCACAGGAACCCAACTGGACCCTAGAACTTACACATTATATCTTCCCTTGTGCATGTTGATTCCCTTCCTCCTTTTCTTCAACCAAACCAGCAAGTTATGGTTGCATTTGCCTGCAAACCAGGTATTGATCCTGGTTTCTAATACTGGTTTCCAGGGAAAAGCACAAGCCATAGTTAGCCAATTCAGATGAAACAGTCACCTGTGTTTTGCCTCACACCGTGAAGGAGAAAAGGAATTGCAGCATGGCGAGGAAGATGAGAGTCCAGCCAGTTTCATGCACAGAGAATCATACCACTTGACATTGCACCTGAACTATCCCTGTCTCTCTGCTTGCGAAATAGCAGAACTGGATTCAGCCACTTGATGCCACTCAATGCTGGGGAAGAGAAACCTTCCATGCTGCAATCATTGTTTAGTGTGTACTGAACTGAAACAAACTGAAATTCCAGCAGAGGGTGATGGCTTATGCCACCTAATTTGCTTATTTATGCTCTCTCCCCCTCCCCCCCCCAGCGAAGCTTGACCTTTGATCAACTGTTCTGTTTCTCATGAAAACCATAATTTACTCTTCGGTGTACTCAGCAAAATGCCCATCACTACGGCACACAAAGGCAGAGCTTCCTTTACCTGGCTACTGTTTTTGTCCTGCTGCTGGATAATATGTTACTTTTCTCATGCTAATTTAATTATAAACATATTATCATTTATTTTAAAGGAAGAATCTCAGCACAGAAAAATACATACCGTACATAACACGTGTTCAAAAACTACAGTACACAAGAACTTCCAAAGAGGTTGGAGGAAGAAATGATTGCATGACTTTCACAGGCCATGCTTTTTTGCTATGCCCCAGTACAAAATGCCATGAATGAAGTAGTCCTGACTTGTCGTATCCCATTGTTGATAATACATGTTTCACACCTACATGTGTTAGTCCAATCACATATTGGAACAGCCCCACAATGGCAACAAAGTCCTGAGCTCCGCTAGTCAAGGCTTGCTTATTAATCACAGTTATAATCCACCCTTCACTGCATGATGCCAAAGTGGGGAACATAAGTAAAATGCATAACAGCATAAAACATAAAAATAACGAAAACCACAGTTAGAACAGACCAGTTAAACATTCTGCAGGAGGTAGCTACCTTTTATTTTATTTGTTCCAATCTCCTGTGAAGGCCTGGGAAAAGATGTGTGTCTTTACTTGTGTGTGTGTGTGTGTGTGTATATATATATATATATATATATATATATATACAGTGGTGCCTCGCAAGACGAAATTAATCCGTTCCGTGAGAGTCTTCGTCTAGCGGTTTTTTCGTCTTGCGAAGCAAGCCCATTGACGGATTAGCGCTATTAGCGGTTTAGCGGCTATTAAAGGCTTAAAGGCTTAGGGGATTAGCTGCTAAAAGGCTATTAAAGGCTATTAAAGGCTTAGCAGATTAGATAAAGGGGGGGGAAAGCGAAAAAAAACCCTCAAGACTCGTAAGGTATTTTCGTCTTGCGAAGCAAGCCCATAGGGGAATTCGTCCTGCGAAGCAACTTCAAAACGGAAAACCCTTTCGTCTAGCGGTTTTTCCGTCTTGCGAGGCATTCGTCTTGCGGGGCACCACTGTATATATATATATATATATATATATACATACAGTGGTACCTCGGGTTACATACACTTCAGGTTACATACGCTTTAGGTTACAGACTCTGCTAACCCGGAAATATTACTTCGGGTTAAGAACTTTGCTTCAGGATGAGAACAGAAATCGTGCTCCGGCGGCGCAGCAGCAGCAGCGGGAGGCCCCATTAGCTAAAGTGGTGCTGCGGGTTAAGAACAGTTTCAGGTTAAGAACAGACCCCCAGAACGAATTAAGTTCTTAACCCAAGGTACCATTGTATGGCATTCCACAGTCTAGGGGTCCCCCAGAGAAAGCTCCCTCACATGCTACCACCCCCCAAAAATTCACTAGGTGGGAATTGGGGTATTGCAAGTAGGGCCTCCCCTGCCAATTTAAATACCTTGACAGGTTGGCAAGAGAGAAGGCGCATCTTCAGATATTTGGGATATCTTAAACTCCACAGAGATCACCATTCTCAGGGTTTTCAATGTCTGATACTAGCTGAGGCAGGGAAGTTGGAAGGCAGCAGAATGTGGTTTCTGATCTCTTGGGGGCTGTGCCAGAGGGGGGCTGATGAGCCTAATGCTAATTCACATAATGCAAAACCATCATTTAGCACTGTGCCCAAATGCAGCCATTCTGTTTGCAGAACTGTGGGCTATTTCCTCGAACAGGTTATAATTAACTTACCTGACTCACTGCCACATAATGTGGTGATGACCATCAATTTTGAAGGTGATAAGGTGGCATTAGAGAAGACTATGGAGAGAAGCCTGTCAGTGGGTATTAACGTTCTGGTTCCAAGGTAGTGTTCTTCTTTGCTAGCTGAAAAGCAGGGGATGGCTCTTGCTATTTTCATCTGCTTGTGGGCTTTCTGGAAGCACTTGGTTAACCCCTGTGAAAAACAGGATGGTGGAGCAGATGGACCTTTGCCTCTTTTTATGAGGGATGGTCAGGATTGTCTGCCATAAACCAGGTGTTTATGTAAGTCAATAGTGTTACATGTACATGCAGATAAGAGAGTGATAAAGATAAATGTTTGTCTTGTATCTATTTAGCTTGTAAGCTTTAAGGTTACACCTTGAGGGCCTTCTCTGTAGTGGTGCTCTCCCTGTGTAGCACCCTCCCTTAAAGAAGTCAAGGAAATAAGAAACTATCTGACTTTTAGAAGACATCTGAAGGCAGCTCTGTATTTAGGAAGTTTTTTAATGTATGATGTTTCAGTATGTTCTGATATATGCTGTGAGCCGCCCAGAGTGGCTGGGGAAACCCAGCCAGATGGGCAGGGTATAAATAATAAATTTTGTGAATCACGATCATTTTACAGTTGCACTCTGCCCCTTGCTTATGTGTTTGGGTTCATATTCTGTGACCATCAAACACTGTATTCTGAAATGTCAGGGGACTCCCCCAAAGCTGGACACACTGTGATTCTTAAACCCTGGTTAATCATTATGTCTCCTTTCAAATGAGTTGATGCATTGTTTAATTTCCCCGAGCCTCATTTTTTCCGTTCAGCTACAACACAAATATTACGCTATTAATTGGTTGTAGCTATGATGGTTATAAACCACCTCCAGAATCCAGAGCCTCATACATGTGAGGATCTGTTGCTGGGGAACAGCAAGAGAAAGCTATTGTTCTCCAGCTTTGCATATGGGGTTCCCATAGAACTGGCTGGTTACTATGTGAATACAGGGAACTGGATTAGTTGGACCTTTGGACTGACCCTGGAGGAGTATTCTTACCATCATGAATTCACATATTATTCGTGGAAAATTGACCTACAAATTAAGAACCATGAAGAAAGGACAACACCTGACACCACCTCAAACACAAGAAATCTTTGGAAAAGTGGCTTTCGATAACAAAAGTCTATCCCCATGACTGATGACATACGTATCTCTGGAGAATAATATCCAATATTATTCCAACATTCTGAAAGGCATAAGTGTTACTGTGTTACTGTTCTGGTTGGTTGGTTGGTTGTTCACCTGTAAGATCGACAGATAGATAAGAGTTTTAAAAAGGTTTTAATGGATTATTTCATTTATTCCGGCTATGTATTATTTGTTCTCTGACTGCAAGATCTGGACTTCTTTATACTTGACGTGGTTAATGTTTGCAGTGCTGGAGGGTTAGACTTTAAGCCATCACAGCAGGTTTGCAAGAACTATAGTGTCCCTACGAACCCTACCAGTGTGGTGCAGTGTTTAAGAGCGATAGTCTTGTAATCTGGGGAACCGGGTTCGCGTGTCCGCTCCTCCACATGCAGCTGCTGGGTGATCTTGGGCCAGTTACACTTCTTTGAAGTCTCTCAGCCCCACTCACCTCACAGAGTGTTTGTTGTGGGGGAGGAAGGGAAAGGAGAATGTTAGCCGCTTTGAGAGTCCTGAAGGGGAGTGAAAGGCGAGATATCAAATCCAAACTCTTCCTACTCCTTTTTCTGTGTAGTTTCCGGACTGGAGTGTTTTATATCCAGTTCCTTGCTTTTGTGAGAATATAGCTGTAGGCCGTACAGCAAACAGTAATACTAAAGCATATTAAAGAAGTAGAAGTTGGCAGGTACAAGATCTCAAGAGCACATTTTGTTGCTGCAATGGCACTGACAATCTTATCATTGATTTCTTGCAACATTATTTCAGGTGAGAAAGAGAAACTTGGCCATATACTGCTCCTGTCCCGTCCCCCCGTCCCGCATATGTCACCAGCCACACCCCGCATTACTAGACGCCATCAGCTCTGTTAATGGAAATTATATTTGCATGCACTATGTTTATTGTGCATGCTAACTGAACTCACTCTTCAAAGCTACTATTAAAATGCTTATTTAATATATTGCTAAGGGGCGGGGGCAGGCCACAAAAAGGGTTACCAGTGTGCATAAAATTTTCATACTGGAACTTTGCATTAGATTTCCTGTTTTATATGTATACATGCAAACTTAGATAAGTGCTATTATTTAAATAGACATACAGTGCCAGAGTGAGGAAGACTATAACCAGGTGATCCATTTGTCTGCTATGCAGGTGTTATCTGTTGATGGGCAGCAGCAAGGCCCCCTCCTGCTCTCCCTCCTGATGCTTCTTTATCTACAAACTGGACTTGAACCAGACAGCACTTCAAAAAGGACACTGTCATCTAGAAAGCAGGGCACACAACCACCCTGTGTTGATCCTGTTCTTATTCTGAGTACATTTAGGGAACATCTGTATGGCACTCCCCCATCCTCCAATAATTTATTTTTCATTTTTGTATCCTCCTAAGCTACTTCCCCCCAAATGCTTCAGGTGTTATATGCAGTTTGTTTGTTTGCTTGCTTGCTTGCTTCATAAAATGTATACATCACTTGACTGTAAAACAACATCTCAACGTGGTTTACAAAGAGAATAGAATTCTCAACAGAGTTCTCAGTAAAAGCTATAAAACAGCTCTTGAAACATTCAATCAGCAGTAAGCTAAAAACAGATTAAAACATACATCTCCATTCAACAAAAATGTTTTTTAACAGAAAAAATCAGTTTTTACAAATATCTTTTCCTTTCAAAAAAACAATCAATTTTATACATATAAGGATTCCCTGAACTCTCAGACCTCCCTCCACTCCCTCCTGGTTTCCATTATAAATCTTTTTTATACTGCATCTTATAACATTGATCTATGTTTTGTATGTGTCCAAATTTTAACCTTCAAATTCTTCCATTACAAGTGTTAAGTCAACCCTGCTAACGAGTTTAAATGTTTACAGTGTTCTTCAAGATAGTCTATGTATTTTTTCCACTCCTTATTAAATTTCTTATCTTCTTGATTTCTGATTTCCCCTGTCATTTGTGCCATTTTAGCATATTCCATCATTTTAATTGTCCGTTCCTCCCTGGTTGGAACACTGTCTTCCTTCCATCTCTGGGAGTAGAGAAGCATTCTCGCAGCTGCCGTTGCATACATAAAAAGTCTTTTCTGCTCCTTTGGTATTTCTTCACCTATAATTCCTAGTAAGAAAGATTCTGGTTAAAACAAAAATGTTTTTAGCAGGCACCGAAAAGAGTACAGTGAAGGTGTCTCATGCCAATAAGACAGGAAGTTTCAGAGTGTAGATGCTGCCACACTAAAAGATTGATTTCTTACAAATGCAGAAGGGGTTCTGCAGCACCTATAACAGGGCCAGTTGCACAGATCAAAGGGGTCTAGTGGGCATATATGGAATAAGGCAACCTTGCAGGTAATCTGGTCCCAAGTTGCTAAGGTCTTGACATATGAATAGTAACACTTTGAACTTGCCTCCCTAGCAAATTGGCAACCAGTGCAGATATCTGAGCACAGGTAATTCTATTCCATTTGAATTACATGTCTGGTATGTCCCCGTCTGACAGCCAAAAATTGCGCCCATATGAAAGTGGCAGATAAGATGGTGGAAGGACCACGAGTGAGACTTGGCTCAAGTTGAAAGGGAGAAGAGGCAGAAGAGTCACACCCAAGGACAGCAAAACATTCCACGCTATCATTGCAAACATTCTGTCTCTTGATCAAGGCGAGGCCAATCTTGGCCACCTTCATAGTACCAGAGCACTGTTCCTTTGACTTCCTGCACAAACAGGAAGTTCAATAATATACGCTGACACATTGAGGAAGTTTTCCAACTCCCACGGCTCCAAAGAAATAGAACAAGTATGAAAGGAATTTAATAAATGAGATGAAAGCCAAACCCTCCTCCTTCCCAAGAAACTACTCATAATTTTATATTTCGACTACAACTTCCTGAATCTTTTTATATGATTCGGCATTCTTTTATGAAATATACAGTGGAACCATCATTTTCAAGATAACCCTCATCGCTAGCCTAGCAAATCTGGAACTATACCTGATGATCTGATAACATTAATAGTCTTTACTTGGACTTTGTTGTTTTAACCCATGCACAACCGCACTCATTCTGCATGCCTGTTTTGTTTTTCATCTGTTGTTATAATTGTTCTCCATTTTACACATATTATAAAGTGAAAAAGAAAATCTTTACAAGCAAGAAAAGAAAAATCAGTTAACTAGTCGACACTACAATTTTGGAACGCACCATATACCAGAAGAGATTATGAGTAACAACACTCTTTGGTTTTGCTTCAGAGATTTCAGAATGTTTGCAAAAGAATGGGACTTTGTTTATGCTGTGTCAGACCTATGGTTTTCTCAGTCCAATGCATGGCAGAACAGGAAATACAGACCATAAACAGGCTTCTGAAGAAATCTGATTGTACCTGCCCAGCCACAAAGTAAACACATAGCGGTGTAAAGCAGCAATCCACCCAACCTTGCCATTCCTCCGAAGCCATTCCCACTCCCCTGGGGTGGCAACAGAAACCTTAACAACTTACGGGTTGTCTTGTACATTTCACCTTTCTCCCAATGCATCACAGACAGCGCCATTGGGAAAGGCCCCAGACTGAGCAAAGAGTCAAAGAAGCAGCCAGCTCAAGCGATGGGACTCCTGGGTGCATCATGCATGCTCCTGCCCATGCTGGTGCAGCATTGCAGCATTTGTCTCAGTGGGTGGTGAGCAGCAGGCAAGAAAACCCCTGAGCAAGTGGGAGAAAGGTATTGGAGGAGAGAACTGCGTCTGCCCCATGGGCTACTGCGGTGTCAGCCCCAAGCTAGCCTGCTTCCCCCAGTTGCAGTGAAGCATGCTGTCCTATTGCAGGGTTGAAGGAAGAGCCAGCGACTAGCTGTAAGTGGAATTAGAAAACAAAATAGAAAGGGAAGGAAAAGAGTATCAACCTACTCAAGTCCCTAGCAGGTCACAGAAGGCATTACTTTGTGGAAGTTACAAAGTAAAAAAATGTCCCCAACCACACGATAAAATTAGCTTTCCAAAAGAGGATTTCAACAAGCCTTTTAGGCAGACATCTTGCCCAGTCTGTCTCTGTATCGGAATTGTTTTTAGATGTTTTCATTGTTTTATCGCTTCTGTGTTTGCTGTCCTGGGCTCCTTTGGGAGGAAGAGCATGATATCAAGTTTAATAATAATAATAAAAGTAATAATAATAATAATACAGTACAGTTGTACCTCAGGTTAAGTACTTAATTTCTTCCGGAGGTCCGTTCTTAACCTGAAACGGTTCTTAACCTGAAGCACCACTTTAGCTAATGGGGCTTCTCGCTGCCGCCGCACCGCTGGAGCACGATTTCTGTTCTCATCCTGAAGCAAAGTTCTTAAGCCAAGGTAATATTTCTGGGTTAGTGGAATCTGTAACCTGAAGCATATGTAACCTGAAGTGTCTGTAACCTGAAGTACCACTGTACAGGGATGCTTCGAGAGAAAAGAAACTGAAATGGGCTTCCCCCCCCCACACACACACACTCTCCAACACACACACACCTGTCAATACCTAAATATTATAAATACATAT